GGAACGAAGAGGTGGAAAAGAAAGGGTGTGCAAGGGGATTGAGGCGCATGCACCCAGTGCTGGGGCAGGATGGAGTGGCGAATGGATTTAGCTGTTGGCCTGTTCCTCGTCTGTGGATATGGCATCTTCGTTAGTCCAGCCCACGTTGTCGGATTTAAACCTCCATGGTCGCGCACTGGTTTTTGCTGGCCAGAAATCCTTCTGCTCAACCTTGGAACTTGCGGCTTCAGGAACCACCAGACGAGCATAAGCGGTTCCAAAGGCTGGAGACACCACGACACTACATCTGATCGTTTCCATTGCATGTTTAGTACACCAGTCAGCAATCGACTTGGCATTGCATGCCGGTTTAGTACGCCAGTCAGCAATCGACTTGGCATTGCATGCCGCATCCACGTTGCCCAGGAAGTATACTTTCCGTTTACGTTTGTATAAGAAGTCGGAAACTCTACCAAGTTGTTTGCGTTGTTGTATGGTATGGCATATCTGCCTTCTTGCCGGGATGGCCAGATTGTTGTGTGGCAGGGGCCAGGGCGAGAAGGCAATACTATTTCAGATGTCTATGATTGATTGGGGAGCACTGCCACAGGTTGGCATATCTAGTGCTTTTAACTGTACTATACCGGAAGCTTCACCCAGAAAATTGGCTGATCGGCTTGAAATTTGGATTATTCCTACGGAAGTGTATGGAAAAAGGTTCCAAACACCTCATGAAACCCATTTCATCAATTCGCATAGGTTGTTTAGCGAACTCCTTTAGTCAAAAACCAAAAACCTTTGTATAGCATTTGCTAGTGACAGTTTAAAAAGATAGAAACCGTGAGTTAGAGAAATAACTTTATTAAGGCAATCAGCAGAATCAGCGAAGCGGACATTGGACGTAGTTATTATACGCTTGTCCGCGTTGACATCGCCAAGAAAGCTTGGCTAACCCTCCCAAAAGCCTCCAGTTGTCAAGCCCCCACCCCGGCAAACGTGCCGACATCCTACACCAATCCTTCCCGTTCGGCCTACTCAGTACACGGAATGCTCTACCCTCTGCCATCCTGAACGCTCCTCCAGCCGAGGCAGCACTGCAACGCTTCAAAGTAGCAGTGTACAAGTACCTCCTCGAACAAACTTGCCGTACTTCTGTCGATGTGTACACCACAAACTCGCATACTACCTGATGGCCTTACTCTTTCCTCTTTCTTTCTTTTGTACCCCCCCCCCTCCCCTGGTGCGCGTTGTGCGCAAGGATACCAAGACCTTTGGTCGGAGGAGCGCCCCACAACGCCCCACCTACACAGCTGCGTTAGTGGATAATAGTAGTCAGCACCGATGATAGCAAAGGGTGGGTGTCAAGAAGGAAATTAATAAGAATTACCTTTGCCAACTGTTGATTCATACAGAACGTACGGCTTGCCAAAAGCGTCCGACTGATAGAATACGGTCACCCGATCACGGAAAAAATCATGAAGCTTCTGCCGAAGCCGGCCGCTTCAAACACTCTCATCTGAAGCACAGCATTCAACTGGGAAACGCATGGTGCACACTTGAGTGTCGTCTGCTGAGACATAACAGTTAATAACGTGACAATGTTGTCTAACTACTATTCGAAGCATGTCTCAGTAACTTGTCGGTTTTGTGCCCTGATATGGCACCTTCGGAGCGCTTTTATCAAGTTGCAGCCGTGGATAGTTGCTTCATAACTCGTGTCCATGTGATTTCTTCTATTTTAAAAATTATATGTTTTTTAGAACACGGAGGCTCCACTGCAGCCAATTCATATTATGCGCAACCCTCCCAGGCATCTGCAGCGCCTGACTCTGGCCTTGCTGTTGCGGGTGCCTATCGTGGTGGTGTTGGGTTGGATTCTAATTCAGCCGCCGCCATGTATACTTTACAGTACAGTACATTACGCACCTCGTGTGGACCAGTGGCATTGAGCTCTGGCCCGATCGCTCCTGGCTCCTCAGGCGCCTCTGTCGAACCGTTGTTGTCATGTCCTGGTCCGACAATCTCCGGTATTCCTAACATGACTCGAACTTCGAACACGGGACATGTTCCTTTCGCCTCGGATGCGCCTCTTCCAGCAGCGGTAACAGCGGCGTCTAGTGACCAACTTCCAATCACTGATAATAATAATTATTTTCCTGACCCACTCGTGCCTGACCAAAACCTGTATAATGACGTCCGCCTGAAGAAACTAGCTGCAACAGATAGACAGGCCCCATCCTCACGGAGGGAGGATGAGAAAGCCCTTCGCCGTTTGAAAGAGGACCTGTCCTCTATGTATCGACGTGAGAGCAAATGCGCCCGCGCCACAAGTGACTCTGCAACACAGAAGAAACTTTCGAAATCGCAATTTGAATCTTTAAAGGCGTTGAAGAACAAGCCCGAAGTAGTTGTGAAGCCTTCTGATAAAGGAAAGGGATTTGTTGTTACTTCAAGTATGTCCGCAGAAAACTATGAGGCAAAGGTTAACGAGAGAGCTTGGAAGCTCAGAGCCCTACGCTATGCTTTTTTGCCTTGATGACCTAGACAAAAAAAAGCATAGGGATGTTATAAATTCTTTAAAAAAATCCTTTTTTTAAAAACATAACCTGGGATTCGAACCCGCACTATCGCACGCCCTGCATGCATCCCCCAATACACTTCGCATACATACTAATTCTTCCAAGTTGTTTCACATTGTGATCTTGCATTTGAAGGCCCTAGTTGAATATGCATTGTGGCCAGCCGTCTTTGATGGCACGGTACGGTAGGGGATAGGTACGGGACAGGTACGATCGAGGGTAATACGACACCGTCTCCCGTACCGTACCGTACCATCAAACACAGCTGGCCACATACAGCTGCCCGCAATATTCAAATAGGGCTTTCAAACGCAAGATAATAACGTGAAGCAACTTGGAAGAATGGGTATGAATGCGAAGTGTATGGGGGAATGCATGTACAGTAAGATCGGGCGCCGAAGAACACCTCGCCGAAGAACACCCAGGCTGGAAAACCGGCAAAATTTAAGAACAGTCCAGGCTAGAATTATCAGATTTAAGAACACTAGATCTACATTGTACGTAGATCTACATTGTACATGTATGGGAGGTGAGTACATGTCATGTACACGTGTAAACAGTAACTGCTACATGTACAGTCACTCCCATTTACGACACCCACTAGTTTAGAAGTACTACATTGCACTGCATGTACATGTACATGACAAACGTCATGACGTCACTCGACTCGCCGCGCGCGTAGGAATAAGAACGGTCTGGCTAGAATCAAAAAAATTAAGAACTTTCCTAGGCTGCGCTCGAGCCCCTGCGTTCTTCGGCGCCCGATCTTACTGTAGGGCAATAGTGCGGGTTCGAATCCCAGGATATGCCTGAAAAAAAATAGGAGAATTGAAAAATTTATAACATCCTATGCTTTTTTGCCGTCAGATACGGATAGCGCCAGGCGTGACACAAACAAACAAACAAACACACAAACAAACACACAAATACCAAATTAAAGCTGTGTGGACCCTGGCTAGCGCCAGACGTTACTGAAGTAACGTCTTCTGCATAGCTACGGGAATAATATGCTTCATTGCCCGGCTGATTACGAACCTTCAACGGTCAAGATTGATGCGTTGGACAGTGAGTGTCGTCAGACAGTAAAGGGCTGTATAAAGTACAAATTACCTGAGAAACTAGAGAAAGCTATGTACCCACACTACTCACACATGGCTCCCTAAAGATCACAAACCAGGAATGCTACTGCGTCCCGTAGTGTCAAGATGCGACCGCCCAACGAGCAACATGTCCCTCCTGGTAGAGCGCATAATAAATCAGTTGCTGCGTTTTGTGCCTGCACATTTGAGAGATACCGAACAATACATCGACGATCTCCCCACACAGCAGAATACATGTATACCGGAAAATTGTATTGTTGCGTCGATGGATGTGGTCGCACTATAATTATTATAGCAATATTCCAATCCAAGAAAGTATCGACGTTGCGATGGAGGCTCTCGAAAGTCATAAAGACGAAATTGACGTGTTCTGGCTTGAGCCATCCGATGGCCGGAAAATGCTGGAATACGCTCTTACGTCTAATTACTTCCAGTTTGAGGGGAAGCAATATGGACAAGTCAGGGGCATTGCCATGGGCAATCACCTTGCTCCGCCGTTTGCTCTATCATTCAGGTCTCAATTGGAGGAGAGGGCATTAGCAGAGTACCATCCTGAACCTCTCATGTACAGGCGATACATCGACTCAAACCCGGGACCTTGCTTGTCATGAGCAATGCTCTTACCACTGAGCTATGGGACCAGGCTGACCCTAGAAGGCGCTGACAAGATTTTCACTTGAAAGGCATCTCACAACACGTGCCACGCACACAGATGGCACTTGGGTCTTTTCTCTCCCCCAGGGGACCAACCACGGTCAGCTTCTGGAACGTAACTCCAGAGGTGAAAGAAAGCGATTAATTTTTGAAAGGATTGGGGGACTTCAAATTCAAGGGATCAGTGGTTAGAGCATATTTCATCATAAGCAAGGTCCCGGATTCGAAACCTGGTGGGTCTGGCGTTTTTTCTCTTTTCAGGTAGTTCACTTCCCCCGACTAACCCTTTGAATTTGAAGTTCTCCCAATCCTTTCAATAGTTGCCTACAATCGTATTTAATATCCATATGATGTGTGGCGCCACCTTTGGCTGCTGGATGCTAGTCCAGTGGGTGCCACTCTCCAACCTTCGGCCGAGTGCTGGTGGAAAATAATAATGAACTCGCATAATTATAGCGAATTTCGTTAGAATTATAGCGAACCCTTGTCCATGTCCAGTTTTAAACCCACAGGGTACGTGCATTTCTGCTATAACACACTTCGGCTGAAAATTTTAATTCTCCTGCATAATAGTGTTCGTTAAATCAGGTATCGACTTAAGTATGAGAGTGGTGAAAGAGGCAGACGTATGATAACGGCAATATGATTATATGGCTGTTACACTTTTAAAACAACTACAATTACTCACAAATTTGTCAATTTCGTCCCAATGGCCCCACGGCTGTAGTCCAAAAACGAAATTCTTAGAAAGAAGATCTGTAGCCTGTATTTCTTTCCACTGCGATGTGAGCTTTGTTGAGATGTGCGCGGTACCTTTAGGGCAGCCGTGTGTTGATTTCATGGATAGGAAATTCGGAGAAAGTTCCAGATCCATCCCTTTCACGTTGTAAGTGGCATTAGTACGGTAGGCTAAAAAAATAGAAGAGCCAATAAAACCAGACACAAACGTGTACACAGACACATGAGTGCAACGAACACACGCACCGACGTGAGTATCTCACTAGATCCCCTTTGTTCTTGTTCCAGAATGCAACAGCTTGCCCAGCGCAATAGTAAACACATCACTCAGTTCCGAGCAGCTCCACACCTACAATATCGCCATCAACAAACACCTCAAACATTATTATTGGTTGTTTGCTAAAGGGTTATAGAACTTCATACGTGACTGTTGCCTTGGAGCGGGCCAATCACTGATCTGTATCAGCGGGCAATAAATTAGTCCGACGCCCGTCGTCTGTGGCAACCCTGACAGTGACACTGGACGAGTGAAATCTACGGGATTTGAACATCGTGACTGTGTATAGTGCAGTGTACATGTGAACACGTGTTTGAAAGTGGCGATCTCAGCTTTTCCTTTTCTTTCCTTTCTTTTGTTTCAAGTGTTCCTGCACACGAGGTCGACTTTCTCCGTTAGTTTTGATTCTTTCAGGTTAGTGTCGTCAGTAATTATGGTAATGTCAGGCTGAAAGTGATAAATCCATTATGGCATGGTTGGTCGGGCAATAATGGATTTCCAGTGCCCTCCAAGTGAGCCCTCCCAACCATGTCGTAATATATACTTATGAATGATCAGTATAAAACATCTCAAACATTTCAAAGATTTCAAGGGCTTTGCACAGTCGATCTGCATGCCAAAGGAAACCTTCCTGCATGATGCGAGCGAAATCGGCGAGATAGACTTGAACACACCGTCTAGGTTTTCTCCGACATGCTTGCTTAGCCCTCATTCCATGTTGACTTTTTTTCCTACGTTCCCAGTATAATTTAGGTCCTTTTGGACCCTAGGAATGTTTTGGGTGGTATTCTTGCAAACTCTTCATTTTATGTAATGTTTTGGCTGTGTTACCTTCCCATAGACCAATGCTTTGACCAAACTGCATTTGTTGACAGGTCTGAAGTTTGTGGGGATTATTTGCAAGTTTGCAAGAATACCACCCAAAACGTTCCTGGGTCCAAAAGGACCCCAATATACTGGGAACGTAGGAAAAAAGTCAACATAGAATGAGGAATTATGGCTGTGGAAAAACATTTTCTTCTACATGTTGGGCCTCACACTTCAGTGGATGTCATCCATGTATTCGGTGATTATGGAGATAAATACCAAAACTATCGCAATAGTTGCACTTCCCTGTGTTCTATGTTAATGGGGTCCATTTGGACCCCGCCAGCATTTTCCGTAATAAAAGTGATATCCATCATGAGCCTCTAACCCAGACCATTTATTTATATCGGTAAGTGTGTTGTTGAGGAATACATGAAGTTTCAGGGAGATGCGATGCAGCAAAGTAAAACTATATCGAAAATCTTACCTATGAGGTCCGTTTGGACCCCACAACCCGGAATGAGGGTTAAGCTGTCTAAAATCCTAAAACCCCGAATGTCCAAATCATATACCATCACTACAATTGGACGCACTCCGGATGTGAGTCTGTCTTGCTTTGCGCATGTATGTCTTTGTGTGTGTGTGTACATTTGTGCATGTGTGTATCTTTGTGTGTGTGGGGGGGGGGGGGGGGGGGTGCGTGTATGCGTTCGTACGAGTGTGTTAATATTTTATTGTGCTTACCATAAAATTTAATGGAGCAGATTACGTAGTATTCCTTCGCCACCCCTCCGTCACCGTAAGCTGGCCCATGAGTGGACGCTGCGTTCCCATTGGCATCACGACACCAAGCAGACAATGGATAAGGCTTTAGCAGAGACCCAAAGCTACGTTGGATACAACCTCGTTCGTCATAGTCTGATAGCTGTCCATTCGCAAACACGCAGTGTTGGTGTGCGTCCACAATATTCATCCGTTTCGGGAACAATTTAAGCATCCGCCATGAATCCCTACAGAAAACCTCGTCTATCTCAGTGTAACACATTACATACATGCATGCATGCACACAAACGCCTCACACACACACACACACACACACACACACACACACACACACACACACACACACACACACACACACACACACACACACACACACACACACACACACACTAACACACATACACACACTAACACATACACACACTAACACACACACACACACACACACACACACACAAACTGACACACACACACACACACACTAACACACACACACACTAACACACACACACGTACACACACACACACACACACACACTCACACACACATACACTCACACACACACATACACTCACACACACACACGCACACATACAATATGCACAAACATTCACAGTGTACACACCACACGCAGAAGAAAAACACACATCCATAGGAACATTACTATATGCCAGGACACATCCAAACACTTTTGGGAATAGAGTTGAACTCTTGACGCTACAATGATAGTGATATTCACAGTGTCTATACTAGAGATGCAAGGCAAAAAGGAAGGAAAACACCGCGAAAATTTCATGGTGTTTCACTGCTAGGACACTGATATTCCCCCACCGTTAGGCGCTGCATCTGCCGCTAGGGTTTATCGGGTGTTAGCGGCCGTCGTGAGTTCCCTTCGGGAACGGATACGATAATTTACTTTTTTTTACTTTTACACTGATATTACCGGTCGTGCCCAAAAAAATCCGGCATGATGAACAAAAAAGCGCCGTGGTCAAGTGCACACAGCGTTATGTGTGCTGCTCGGACTGCATATCCCGCCGAAGATATATCATTCCGGAGGTCAAAATTCACTGGCTAGGCCTGTAACTAGGGTCCAGAGGATAATGCTCCGAAAGCGTTTGTATATTGCCAACCATAATGCTTGAAAGCTACCTCAATATGCTGATTATAATGCTTCATCAAGGGCTATAATGCTCTTGGTTTGAGTGAAAAAGAAGAAAGGCTGCACATATTCAATCTGCCGCTGACGCCACCACACTATTCCCCACCAGATTTTTTTGATTTTTTTAAGAGAACACAAACGTACCACGAAATCATGTTGAAAGACAAAAAGTACATTAGGCTGGGTAGGCGCTATCCACAATGCTAGTTAATAGCTGTGCTGATGAAATACATGCACTCTGCCGACCATGGGTCTCGGCGTCACAGTGCCATGTATGCATCAAAATTTATCATAAGTTTATAATGAGCCAACAAAAGAAAGTGACTACAAAGACAAAAAGTAATAATAATAATAATAATAATAATAATAGCAATGAAAAATATCAATTGTGCACTCATAACCATGTATAAACAATTAAAATGAAACAATTCCAGAACGTTTTCGTGTGACCATCATCAGTGGAACATCGTCACATAGTAAGAATCACTAAAAAAACCAGTTATATAGCTAGAGTAATGTGAAAAAGAAGCGTGAGAATGCAGCACAGCTAGCGGTTATGCATAACGCGTGTAGTGTGAACCTTTGCAGTGTATCTGAGAATGGTAGCAGTAGATGAATGTGGCAGCTGTGAGTGCGTGTGAACAAAAACTGGTGAGTGCGTATTATTTAAAAAGTGTGAGTGCTACAACATTTTCGTTTTGCTTGCATAGAACAGGTCAGGAGTGGTCAGGAGGAAAGCAAGGGTGAGCAGGAACAGGAAGTGGAGGATGAGAGTGATACGGACGAGGAGGAGTTCGACATTGACAAGAGCAAGTCTGCCATCTACAAGCATTTGGTGTCCAGTCCGGATTGTCGTAAGTTGTTTGACGATTCCTGGTTTAGTGTTATTTGTCACGCGCGTTTCTTTAAGCAGTTGCAGGGGTTGGAAGCTGTATATATTCGCACACGTGACCCTGTTCTATGCAAGCAAAAAGAAAATGTTGTAGCACTCACACTTTTTAAATAATACGCACTCACCAGTTTTTGTTCACACGCACTCACAGCTGCCACATTCATCTACTGCTACCATTCTCAGATACACTGCAAAGGTTCACACTACACGCGTTATGCATAACCGCTAGCTGTGCTGCATTCTCACGCTTCTTTTTCATATTACTCTAGCTATATAACTGGTTGTTTTAGTGATTCTTACTATGTGACGATGTTCCACTGATGATGGTCACACGAAAACGTCCTGGAATTGTTTCATTTTAATTGTTTATATTATACATGGTTATGAGTGCACAATTGATATTTTTCATTGCTATTTTACGACTGTTGTCTCCTCGTCGGTTATTTAAATAATAATAATATTAACTGGTTTGAGGGAAAGAGACAAACGGGAAAAGTCTGAAGAAAAAATTGACTGTCACCACCAGGACTCGAACCAGGGACCCTCGCTTGTAGCCAGCGATGCTCTAACCACTGAGCTATGGTGTAGTCGTCATCCCAGCAGAGGCCGTTCAACATTTTCTTCAGACTTCGTAACTCACACTTCCTGTGAATCCACACAGGCGGGTGGGACGCAGCCCTCACTGTAACCCACACACTTCACGTACAAACTAGCACGCGGGGAGCCCCAAGTCATAAAATATTAACTGGTTTGAGGGAAAGAGACAAACGGGAAAAGTCTGAAGAAAAAATTGACTGTCACCACCAGGACTCGAACCAGGGACCCTCGCTTGTAGCCAGCGATGCTCTAACCACTGAGCTATGGTGTAGTCGTCATCCCAGCAGAGGCCGTTCAACATTTTCTTCAGACTTCGTAACTCACACTTCCTGTGAATCCACACAGGCGGGTGGGACGCAGCCCTCACTGTAACCCACACACTTCACGTACAAACTAGCACGCGGGGAGCCCCAAGTCATAAAATATTAACTGGTTTGAGGGAAAGAGACAAATGGGAAAAGTCTGAAGAAAAAATTGACTGTCACCACCAGGACTCGAACATATGAAATAATAATAATAAAGAGATGCGTGGGTAGCTCTTGAGTGATACAGCAAGGTGAATCTAGACCAGAGTGGCTAGCAACTTTGTCGCAGGTGTGTGCAGCAGTGGCTTTCAGAGGTGGTCTGTAGCCCACAGTCAGTCAGTGTGTAGCAAGTGCTTCCATGCAGCTGCCTTGATGCGGTGCAGCCGTTGCAGGGATATTGATGGCTGGAACAGGGAGGGTGGCAGTTGATTCCACAAACCGATGTGGGAAAACGGGAAGGACCGCATGATGTACTCCGGTGGTGGTAGGGTATTGAGGAGCTGGTGAGGATCGGTCACCGCATGTGCGTGTCGGGTTCTGGGACGAACCCTAGTGGGTGCAGCTGGTGGGACAATGTTGGTCAGCTGTCGTGGGCTTCCGATGCACTGAAGCTTGTACATGTAGCACAGCCCAGGGAGAGAGTGCGTCGTGCAGCCAGACTCTGGAGGAGCACATCTGGTCCTATGATGGCCACTGCCTTCCGCTGAATGCGGTCGAGCCTGGCCAGATGGGTCGGGGCAGCAGACATCCAGACCAGTGGAGCATACTCCAGCATAGGGCAAATGAATCCTTGGTAGACACTCAGACGGCCATTGGTGTCATGTATCCGCGCGGCTCGGCGCAAAAGCCCAAGACGTTGACTTGCTCGCACCGCCATGCTGCTGATATGCGGGCGAAATGAAAGCTTTGAGTCGAACAATATACCCAACAGCTTCAGTGTTGATGCCTGGGCAATGTCGGCACCACCAAATGAGATGCCTGGAGTGGCTCGATCCAAGGATCGTGTGCATAGTAGCTGCTGTGACTTGGAAGGCTCAAATGTCACCCGCCACCGCTCACCCCACTCTTGAAGGCCATGTAGGGCATCTTGTAAGGAGGCATTGTGGGGAGCAGCAGTTTCTGGTTGTAACAGGCTGTATAGCGTGGTGTCATCAGCAAAGGAGCTAAGGCGCATTCTGGGGGTAAGACATTGGTCGATGTCGCTGACGTAGATAAGAAATAAAGTCGGCCCGAGGATACTTCCCTGAGGTACTCCCGCGGTGATACTGAGCAGATGAAGCTTGACTGCTGACCACAACTTTCAGTTGGCCGCTATGTAGGTAGTCCTGAAGCCAAGTCAGTAGTGTACCCCTGATGTCAGCCCGTTCTGCCTTGTACAGGAGACCGGTGTGCGACACACGATCGAACGCACCAGCTATATCCACAGCTATCACTTGAGCAGATCCACCGTTTGCAACAACCTGGACCCATTCGTTCTGCAGGGCTGTCAGGACATCAGCAGTTCCCCTGCCTCTACGGAATCCATACTGGCTGTCAGGAAGCAGTCGGTTCCGCTCAAGATGGTTCACCACCTGCGAGTTGACGATGCCTTCCATTACCTTGGAGAGGATCAAGAGCAGAGACACTGGGCGGTAGTTGGCCGGATGAGATTTGGAGTTCTTTTTTTAACACTGGCACGACATGCGCCAACTTCCAGCTACATGGCGGGATTCCACATCGGAAGGACAGTTCGAAGAGCTTGGTGACTGCTGGGGCCAGCTCACGAGAGCATTCCTTCAGGACCCGAGTTGGAAGGCCATCAGGGCCAGTGGCTTTGCAAGGGCTGAGCCTGGCTAGCCGTCGCTGGACATCAGACATTCGAAAATGGATACGTTCTAGGCTGCCGTGTAAAGGTTGAGCACTGGGAGGGAGTGAGTCTGGAGATATGTCACCATCTCCCAGACTACACTTCGTGGCAAAGTATCTTGCTAAGCAGTTGGCTTTGTCATCGCTGGAGTGGAACTCCCTCTTACTTTGGTCCACAAGTAACTGGACCTCACTTGCACGGTTCAGACCAGCAGCTTGCTTCACCGTAGTCCACCACCTTTTGTCCGTAAGTGACCCAGACGTGAGCTTGTTGCAGAGCCGGCTCTCAAAGGAGACTGTGGCCCGGTGGAACCGGGCAGCAGACTCTGGCGGGCAGTATCCATCACCTAAAAGATATAATCGATTCTCCGGAGGCTGCTCACCCCTGCAATTTTGATGATGGGCTATGGATGAATAGTGGGTGTATCAAATCCTTTCCCGACATTATCCAGGGAGTGAGAGGTGTAAACCATGTTAGCGTTCATTGGAATGAAGTGTTTTGTGGCAAGTGGTAGTCCTGCCAGCAGACAACCTGTCACTGCGTTGACTCTGTGAATAATCTCTTCATCCGAATCAGGAGACATTAGGCCAGTTCCTCCAAGTCGACCTCGATATTAAGATCCCTTTTATTTGCAGAAAGCCAAAAATATATATGGCCAGATTATGTTACTGCACTAATATTCCTTTCCTTGGACGGTCTTCTTCTCCTTGTGGTGTTCCGTAAACAAAATGGTTTGTCACAAGACTACTCCTCTCTGTTGATGCCACTTGACTGCTGTATTTAGTGTACAGCTGTCCACACCTAACTTTACATGTTTCAGCAGGAACGGCTCAGGCACGCGCTGCTGCAGACTGCTCATATTGATTTTGTGCTGAATCCATGAGTAATTCCAATCTTTTATAAGCCAGCTCGGCTGGAATCGGCACAGGCAGTTCGTTAGAACTACATTTATCGCTTTATGCTTGTAGCTATTCCTCCAGCAAACGATCTGCTTCTACATCGGCACGGGTATCAGTATCGCCCCTAGCCTAGAAACGCTATCGTCGGAGCCTGAGGAACGGCAAGAAACCACTTATCAGTTGTTCGATGTTCACTTCGCGTCCCCTCCATTGCCCTCTATGTTTTCTGTAAAACATGGCCCTCCTTGCAAATCTTTGTTTCGTTATTTGTGCAACCTGAGTACATTGCTACATTTAAAAGTGCTTAAAAGTGTTACGTGCCTACACGAAGTCATCCACAATCCAGTACAAAGGATGACATTCAAACTAGTGTCCAGCTTCACACATTTCACACCCCAGGATGGTTGGCCCTACCTCATGAGTGTAGCCGGTTGTTGCCACAACGCCGGCATTTCCCGATATTTTCCACTGTGAGACTCCAAATGCCGCTCAAATCTATTAGAATGCTCGTTTTCTCCGCACATACTGCATTATTCACCACGATTTACGCTTTTTTAGACGCCTACAAAATAATGCCTTGTTTACCATTTTAGTCGAGCCATAATCACAACTTAAACAAACGGCAAGGAGACAATAATTCGATAACCGCAATCAATAAAACGAGCTGAACCGACATCCGACACCGCTTTACATTGCATGAATAAAGTACACAAATGTCGGTTCAGCTCGTTTCATTGATTGCGGTTATAATCACAACTATTCAAATTTACTCGAAGCTGAAAAGAAATAACATTGCTACATTTTATTTCCCTCACATCCCCTAAAGAGAGAGCTTGAAAGCTCAGGGCCAGCGATATGCTTTTTTGGCTAGGTCATCATGCATGTTATTCGAATGGATGGAAACGGTTTTGCAATACAATGATGAAAAATCCGCTCACTCTCCTGGCAGTGAGTGAGTCTCCCCATTTGTTAATGAAAAACAGGACGATCATGAAGTACATGTATTCCCTGGCTTAACCTACCATGGGATTGGAACTCGCACTATCGCCCTGCATGCTTTCCCCCGATACTCTTCGCACACATACACATTCTTCAAAGTTGCTTCACTTTATGATATTGTTGTTGAAACCTCTATTCGAATAAGATGGCAAGAGTCATTTACAATGAGAAAAATAAAAGTCTGCCTACCCTCCCATTTTTCTTCTGAAAAAAGGACGATCATGAAGTATGTTCCTTGGCTCTGCCTAACATGGGATTCGAACCTGCACTATAGCCCTGCATGCATTCCCCCGATACACTTCGCATACATACACATTCTTCAAAGTTGCTTCACGTCACGATCTTGCAGTTGAAAGCCCTATTTGAGTAAGGTGGCCAGCTATCTTTGATTTGACGTCTTTTCCATAGTTACGGGGACAATGCGGAATCTCCAGAACCGTGCTGCCCGGGCAGTGCACGTCCGCTCACCCGCCCCTAGTGCAAATGGGCCTGTTCCGGATTAGTGAGACACACCGCCAGAAAGCTGTTACGTTAGTATGGAGGTGCACTCATGACAAGGCAGGTCCACCACGGTGGCACTAGCCTCCCCCCCCCCCCCAACGGGAAGCAGAACTCGCATGCAGACTGAAGATGGCCTTCAGCTGCCGAAAGCTAGGACCCGATCTGGAACAACCCAGTTTGGTTCCGCTGCCACAACTGAGTGGAACTCGCTGCCTGCAGCTGTTCGTGGTACCCACTGCCTAACCCAGATCAAACTGGCAGCCATACCCTTTACTCATGATCACAAGTACTCATTTTGATGTTCCTCAAAAACCTGCTCTCTCTACGATGTAGCCCTATGGACCTTATGTCATTTGTAGAGATCCACGAAATTCCGTAGAATCCCGTTGACCCGGTAGGGTGTTGAATGTGCAGGACCCTATTGTGTTTTCTGCTATTTCCACTAAGAAATGGGACCTGAAAGCATTTCATACGAAAACCTTTTTCTGACAAAGAACAAGCTAGTCATTAGTTCTAACCAAAGTGAAGAAGCTGGAAAAGCGATTGCTGGTCATTGAATTACGACGCTAAAAAGGTCAAACGCGCATGCATAGCACACAATGAACACCCTACCGAGTCTACGGGATTCTAAGTGATTTCATGGATCTTTACAAATGGCATAAGGTCGATTGCTCTTTTTCTATTCTTCCTTATCTCTCTCAAGTATTCGCATTCCTGTAATTAGGCATACTTGCCAGTTTGAATACCGAATTAAAATAAATGCAATATCAAAAACAACAACAACAACAACAACAACAACAACAACAACAACAACAACAACAACCCTCTCCCATACTTGTAAAGTTCAAAGTGATGTAAATCACTTTCCAACTGCTTAACCCACAATCTCACCTTCTCATCAATATATCTCTTATTGGCGATGGTGCCATCGTGAGAATAAAGAATTCAAAATTCAAACAATCAGCTTTGGTTGGCTAACACCCACTCTTTTCATATTGGCCAGTGTTTCCACTGCGCCATGAAGTTGAGATGTTGCAATTAAAGAATATATAAACGACCAGTTCCCAAGAGACAAAGAAACCTATCATTTTGGCAAAAGCACGTGTAGGATCCATCAATACAAAAACAAAACAGTGCAAGAAGCATTTATTGACAGATCAACTCACACGGACCGAAAACGCACACCTGGTTCACCAGATTTTCTTCCCAGTGACCTGTCTCTTTGTAAATTATTTCCCTAAACTCCGCAATGCAGTGACTTTCATCGTTGGATGCAGCTCGACCTCCTTTTGCTAAGCAGGAAGTTTGGATTTTGTAGATGTTGTCCAGTGATGTGTCCGGATAGTGAACCATAGATGCTCCATATGCACCAGAGGACCGTTCGCAGAAGTATTCCCCTGGCAAACAGACACACATGCACACATTTGGGAGGGTTAGCTGGCAGGAAGTAGGCAGGCAGGAGTAAACAAACAAACTGGCAAACAAACAATCAAACACGCAAGCAAATAGGTAGTTTGCACACTCCATAAAATACCAATATGCCCACAACACGTAGATGTACGCATGCTCAATACCCCACTCAAGTTAAGCCCCACTATAGCCTTCGACTCACCTGCACATGGCACCTCCCACACACACCAGAACCGACCACTGCAAAGACCCATCCTGTACAAGTCCCTAGAATACAAAATGCCCTCCCTGTTAGCACTCGTGATGTTCCCTTTCGACCTGCTTTCAAACAAGAAATCTAATCACTGCTGATTAACTCAATCTGCGCCTGCAGCGGTCACCCTCTCCCATACTTGTAATATTCAAAGAGACCTCAATTACTTTCCAACTGCATAACACACAGCCCCACTCACACTTTCAGTCTAGTCACAGCATCTCACTTTATCATAATCTCCTCTTGAAGGAGAAATTCCCACCCCACACCGAAAGCCTCCCTCTCATCTTTGTCAGACACCCTAGGCAATATCGTCCACGATGAACACCGCGCTGCTCTTACGACCCCAGACACTCCGGCGGTTGACTGTTTAGACAATTGCCTTCTCGAGTTCCAACCAGTTACAACAGCAGCAATAAGGAAGATTCTCGAACGATTGAATACCACGAAAGCATCTGGATCAGACGGCATACCAGCTTACATTTTGAAACACCATGCCGCCAAGCTGGCCAATTCCTTAACTTCCATCTTCAACCAGTCATTGCCTAGCGGAAAGGTACCGTCAGCCTACAAACTAGCGTCTGTGTGTCCAGTATTTAAGAAAGGCGACCCCTACGACAGTTCCAACTATCGCCCAGTCTCGCTTCTGCCCATTATCTCCAAAGTCTTGGAATCGCTAGTGCTCCAGCAGCTTCACGACCACCGGGACATCACACACGGAGCAATTCAAAATGAACAGTTTGCATACAGGCGGAACCACAGTACTGAGGACCTTGTAACACTTGCCATCAATAACTGGCGGAGAAGCATGGATACCGGAGACTATACGACCGTACTGCTGCTTGATATGAGCAAAGCCTTTGACCGCGTCCACCAGCAAACGCCAATAGATGACCTTCACAGTCTGAAGATCCGTGGAAATGCTCTTGAGTGGTTCAAGTCGTATCTGTCTCACCGACAGCAACGCATAGAAGTGAACGGAACCACAAGTGACTGTAGAACCTGCACTAGGGGCGTTCCCCAGGGTTCCGTCCTAGGCCCTACCCTCTTCCTCATCTACACTCGACTTGTCCCCACTCTGCCATTGCGTTCCCAATGCCTTCTTTATGCAGACGAAACCACCCTGTATGCCTCTGGAAAGTGTCCACGAATTCTCATGCCTTACTAAGAAGAAGATTTTTTCAGTGGTGAAGCAGCACCTCACAGATCGCGGCCTGCTCCTGAACTCCAGCAAGAGCCAAGTACTACTGATCCACAGCAGACGCTCACATCCTCCACCTAACCTGAGCACTGTCTGTGGTTCGACTGTTATTGCTCCGTCTGACGAAGTTAAGTATCTAGGACTGACTTTCGATTCAACTTTAAGTTTCAGTGCCCACGTTAACTCCCTCAGGGAAGACATCGGAAAGAAACTAGGTGGAAGGAAGAACCTTGCTGTGCAGGCCAGAAGGCAGTTCTACTTGTCAGTAGTCCAGAGCAAGCTCGAGTACGCCAGCACTGCCTGCGTCCACTGCCTCGCTGACAACGTGAGAGATCAGCTGCTATGCATAAGTAAGAGAGCACTTAGATGCATATTTGAGCATGACACATTCACGCGGACATCATACTTGCTTGAGCGGTACCACATAATTAGCTTAGACAAAAGATATCATACTAAGTCCATATTCTTCGTGTTCCGTTGCATCCACAATATCTGCAGTTCACTCCTCTCTGACATGTTCTCCCTTCGCCGTGACTGCGCTCACACAGATAGGGTCACGTGCGGCCCAGTGATTTCTTCCCTTTCCTTACCCATTGTGCAAACTCAAGCTGGATACAAATCTATTTCATTCCTTGGTGCTGATCGCTTTAATGCGCTTCCCGAATCCCTTCGCACAAATCATATCCCCTACTCATTTCGACGGGAACTTAACAAATTCATTCATCTTGGGCACCCTGTAAGAAGACCTTAGGGTCTGTTGGGAATGCCCAAGTAAAATAATAAAATACAATACAATACAAATATTATCATTGCTCTTGCTGACACATCAAATGGCTGAGTGCAATGACAAGAAGCTGAAGTTCGACTGTGTTTTCCTCGACTTTAAGAAAGCTTTTGATCGTGTGGATCACTGCACAAGCATTGCTAAATGCATTTGAAGGAATTGCTGATAGGCCAGCAGTCGACTGGCTCCGAAGCTTCTTATCTGAGCGGAAGCTGTCTGTGAGGTTGGAAGGACAATATTCGGAGGCCAAGGTCCTCACCTGTGGAGTCCCGCAGGGATCGCATCTTGCTCTAACCCTCTTCTTATTATTTGCTAATTCCCTGCCCTCATCAATCACCTACTGCACCCCATACCTATTTGCTGACGATGTCACTCTCCTGTATGTACATGATAACAAGAATTCCCTGCAGTGGAACCAATCTCGTCTAGAGAGCGACCTTTCTGCCTGCCAACTATGGGCCAACAATGTCGGTGGAGAGTTCTCACCAGCCAAAACGACTCAGATCCGTAACTACAGTAACGACCACCCTATCCAGCTCTCTTCCCAAGCTATCACCATCGCTGAAGCTGCGAAGCATCTTGGAGTGTATTTAACACCCGACCAGTCCAACACCATCCACCTTCACACTATCCTGAAAACCTTCCAACGTCGTGTTAATCTGCTATGCTTCATGGGACGGAGTCTTTCCCCCACAGCCTTTCTACTTCTATATAAAGGTTTTGTCAGACCCGTCCTGGAACACGCCACCTCGGCCTGGTCCTATGCCATTACCAAAGCTGAGCTGGAGCATTTAAATATTTTACAAGCCAGAGTAGCTAGGAAGTATTTGCTACGTAAAAAAGTCAATGTAGATAGATGCGAAACGAAATCCCAGTGAAATGCCCTTTGTGACTTAGAGTCCTTGCACTTTCGCAGACAAGTATCAGCTCTTGTTACTCTATTTAAACTTATACATAACATCTCCAGAACACCTCCAACATTTTCACCTTTCACTGTCTTCAAGTCCAAGAAGACCAAGCAAACTTAACATCAATTATCACGGTGTGTGTTTTTCTTCCCTCTTTTCCAACAAAGCTGCAGTGCTATGGAATTGCCTACCGCCTTCTCTCACCTCTATAACCAGCCTCCCCGAATTCAAGCATTCTCTCTATCAGCATTTTCGCCGATATATTCTTTACACTGACGGTATCCCAACTCCTTAATTACCAGGTGTTGTATGCCTCGATCTATTTCCTTAGCCTATCCTCGATTAACTGCTCCCTCTGCATAAAGTTGTCATTTCATTCTTCTTGCAGGAGATCCCCTCGACAGGCCAAAAGCCTTTGGGAAATCCTTAAATATAATACAATGCAAAAAAATCTCTTATTGGCGATGGTGCCATTGTGAGAATAGAGAATTTAAAAAAAGTAGATACGTGTATATGAGGAGGCGAGCTTGCAACAATGCTTCAACTCTATGGGCCCTACGCCTGTAATATTGCGCAGAACTGTAAGATCACACATTTTGGACGCTATTCTGTTTCCGGCTATTTCGGCACATGCCAGTCATACCTTAGACAGTGTGGAGAAAGACAATGCTGTGACAAATGCTATACCTATAGTACCTGTAAATTCCATAGCTGCTGTTCAGCTCGTCTAGCCTGGTCTTTTGCCCCCTGTCATTCCTAGTATTTTGAGGACTAAAAATTCCTATTTCCAATCTCCCAACCCTTAATATGACCACTTCAAAAACATCTGAAATTTGTTTGTATATAAATATGGGAGGATTGTGGAGAGTGCGCATCCCGTCCAAGAAAGCCTTCTGGAATTTTTCATTTTAAATAACCGACGAGGAGACAATAGTCGTAAAATAGCAATGAATAAAACCAATTGTGCACTCATAACCATGTACATGTATAAAACAATCATACAAATGAAAAAAATTCCAGAACGTTTTCTCGTGACCATCATCAGTGGAATATCGTCACATGGTAAGAATCACTAAAACAGCCAGTTACTAGTATATAGCTAGAATATGATAAGGAGCGTGAGAATGCATCAGCTCACGGTTATGCACAACACGGGTAGTGTGAACTTATGCTGTGGATCTGAGAATGGTACAGTCAGCCCTCGCTTTTCCGTTCCACATTAATCTGGATCCCTCGCCATCCGGAAAAAAATCGTTGGTTACTGATTTACAGCATATGCCATGCATACATACAGTATGTGTGTTCGATTATCCGGTTAACTCGCCTATCTGGATATTTTTTGTGGAAAACGGATGTGTGCGGTTATAAGAGATCTGACAATAGCAGTAGATGAATGTCGCAGCTGTGAGCAGGCGTGAACAAAATGGTGGGTGTATTATTTCCTGGTTTGGTGCGAAAATGTTGTAGCACTCACACTCCTCAAATAATACGCACTCACCACTTTTGTCCACACGCGCCCACAGCTGCAACATGTATCTACCATTCTCACATCCACTGCATAAATACACACTACGTTATGCGTAACCACGAGCTGCTGTATTCTCACGCTCCTTTTCATACTATTCTAGCTATATACATAATACTGGTAACTGGTTTCATTAGTGATTCTTGCCATGTGACGATATTCCAGTGATGATAGCCACGAAATAACGTTTTGGAATTTGTCATTTTAATAATAATATTATCTTATACATGGTTAAGAGTACTTAATTGGATTTATTCATTGCTATTACACGTCTATTGTCTCCTCGTCGGTTATTTAAATGACATGTTTTAGTTTGAAGTAGTGGTTGCGACTTCGGCAATGATTTTTAAGAAAGTCGGCGGAATAGCACGAGCTCTGGTGTGGGGAGCGAACCCTTTCTTATGTTTTAGTTTGTCATAATTATTTTTTCACAATCATGATGAGATTGTGCCAACAACCATGTGATCCTGGTGAGTTTAACCAGCCATGGTGGGGAAAACTGAGAAAAAGACGGAGAAAAAAAGAATGATAAACAACGAAACCGTCGTCAATTCAACTTAGCTCACTGCGCAAGTAGGCAGGCGACAACTTTCACACCAAGGTTCAACTCGACTTCAACTCAAGTGACAGGAATGCACCCAAATAGGCTGTAAGTTAAACCCTGCAGGCACGATGACCAGGTGACTGGTGTACGTATGAGCACGTAACCAGAGTCCAAAAGACTACAACACATGGGCCAATCGTGGTCATCCCTGCTTTTATAAGAACGAAATGGCGCTTTAGTGACATTTTGCATACAAATCCCCATCTAGTAGAGCGCAGTCACCCAGTTTTGGTGGAATTGCGCGAGTTCGATTGGGACTAAAGGAGGAAGAGAGCGTCTCAGCTTCCTCGGACTAAGACCATTCGACTCAGCGCCCCGAAGACTACAACTGGTGAAAATTTCATTTTAGGCTTAACTTCCCTTTTAATGTGCCATTCACACGATTTGCAAACACCTGCACGTGGGTTACCATGAAGTTACTTGCTAGCTGTGACCCTGTTCACATAGTGCTGGTCAATCTTTGCTCAAGTCAATGTATCCGTGGTGACCTCCTGCAAAAGGCAGGGAATTTGAATTTTTGAATTTTTCCTTTGAAATAATTGTTCACACACTACATAATGTGTTCACTGGTTTGAGGGAAAAACACAAACGGAAAAAGTCTGAAGAAAAAATTGACTGTCACCACCAGGCCAGGACTCGAACCAAGGATTCATCAATAAAATAAGGCTTCTGTTTTTTAAACATGAATATTGACGCACCCAGCAATTGGCCCTTCTGTTCATGTCTTGCCCGACTCTAGTAATGGCTCATGAATCTGCCCAGTCTACATTCCTTCTCGGTTTTCTTTCATTCCAGTTGCTTCTTCATTTCTGCTCTGTTTTACGTTCTCTTTTCGTTCATCCCACTTGATATTTGGACTTTGTTCTGTTGACGCAACGAACTGAAATAATAAAAACAAAACCAAACCAAAACCAAAGAATACAATATAAAACGGGATTGGCTTACTGAGATTGAAGGCACATGCCACAGTGTTGTGCTCATCCTTCTGCCTTCTCTGTTTGTTACTCTCATACAGAGTATACATGCTCTCAGCGGTGTGATAGAGTGGATCTTCGTCATGGTTTTGCACCCACGGTTTGGTTTGGTAAGCTGGAGAATCAGCCTTTACTGTCGTCAGGGCGTACTTTACGCAGACTGCCTCTTGATTGCCAGCGGGTAGCCGTCCGCCTAGACGCTTGCATTGGTCCTTTGCCTGTGTCAATGAGGCCTTATTGGCATACAAACCAATGTGAGCTCTAGTTTCCTGACAAAAGCTGCGGCCCTCTATGCAAAGGAATGAACAAATGATCAAACGCACACGTAAGCACGTACACAAATTCACACACACACACACACACACACACACACAAATACACACACACACACACACACACACACACACGCATTGTTACAGTTTCTCGGCTTTTGAGGAAACGGGACGTGTCCGATTACTTACCCGGTACGATTTCACACACGACCTTGTGCTTAATTGCAGGCAGAGATGTGACACTGTATGGCAACTCGTCACTTGCATATTGAAGACTCCCGAGTTTCCATGACAACCAGGCCACCGGATTGCTCCCTGTCGTTTGCAGAAAGTCTTTTACACAGAAAGTTCTAGACGCTATCTTTGCCTTCATCTTCTGGCAGTGATCAGTTGCATCAGCAAATGTCATCTCCACTGGGAAGTATTTGATGATAGTTGATGGGTAATACGGACATCTTACTGCCGCTGTTCAGTAACAAGTGGAACAAAAATACACGCAGAAAACACACCCACACACACACGCACACCCGCACATCCACATACCCACGAAAGCAAGACCAACGATTCACAGTCAGTCTTCGTCTCACAAACAGCCCCGCGCTCAAGGGGTTAACCAAGTTACTGGTGAGCCAGAATGTGCTAGAGTCACCCATTCTACTGACAACACAGTGACTAAAAGAATGGGTGGACAAGCCACTGACCATGTTGTTCAGAACAACGAAACGTCAGGAAAAGTATTGTGAATATTTTCTATCTTCAATAGTCATAATACCACTATTGGTCTAAAAAGAACTTTTGCCAATCCAGTGAATGTGCCGTACTTCATGCACATGACACTTTGCTCCACCACATCTGGAATATGCAAGCCACACGTTTCCAATGTCAAAGGCTCTAATGTCCTAGTAATCTAACACGTCTCATATCCCACATGTTTAGGTACGCATGCCAGTCATGTGACTTAGGTACTCATGCCAGTCATGTGACTTAGGTACGCATGCCAGTCATGTGACTTAGGTACGCATGCCAGTCATGTGACTTAGGTACGCACGCCAGTCATGTGACTTGGGTACGCACGCCAGTCATGTGACTTGGGTACGCATGCCAGTAATGTGACTTGCCTTATACATGAACAAATAAAGTGATGTGTTCAGGGAACTGGGTCATGGCGTTCAGCTGTGCAATTTCAATCCTGATTTTATCCGCAAATGCAGTTCTATACAAACAGTGGCACCTGGTTTAGGGTGCCAGTTTTGCACTTAAGCTTGGATTTCAGTCAGCTGATTTCAGTGAGCCGATTTCAGTGAGCCGATTTCAGTCAGCCGATTTCAGTCAGCCGATTTCAGTCAGCCGATTTCAGTCAGCCGATTTCAGACAGCTGATTTCAGACTGCTGATTTCAGACTGCTGATTTCAGTCAGCTGATTTCAGTCAGCTGATTTCAGTGAGCTGATTTCAGTGAGCTGGTTTCAGTGAGCTGGTTTCAGTCAGCTGATTTCAGTCAGCTGATTTCAGTGAGCTGATTTCAGTGAGCTGATTTCAGTGAGCTGATTTCAGTGAGCTGATTTCAGTCAGCTGATTTCAGTGAGCTGATTTCAGTGAGCTGATTTCAGTGAGCTGGTTTCAGTCAGCTGATTTCAGTGAGCTGATTTCAGTGAGCTGATTTCAGTCAGCTGATTTCAGTGAGCTGATTTCAGTCAGCTGATTTCAGCCAGCTGATTTCAGTGAGCTGATTTCAGTGAGCTGTACCCCAGGGTATACCGGTACTGTACTTACAGTTCAAAAAAAGTACTTACAGTACAAAAAAAGTACTTACAGTACAAAAAAAGTACTTACAGTACAAAAAACAAAAACAAACTTACAGTATGGCAATTCACACACAACATTGAGTGGTGATTGAGGATAGCCAATTCTGGAATGGTCTGAACCCTTCGATCCTCCTCGCACTACAGCTGATGATGTGCCTCCCGCTATCCAAACGGCGGGATTATATTGAGTACTCAGTTTAATATGGAGGGCATCCATAAAAACATTAAGGCACGAGTCGTTTTTTGGTACGCTTCCATGGACATTGGCGCAGAAGCTTACTGCTCGCTCGTAGGATAATTTGATGTTGAAGTACCTCAGTCTTGTGTTGCTGCCTGGACAATTTAAGTCCTCTGCAATCACAGAGAGGGGACAAGGGAAAGTCAGAGGGTAGAACCGTTGAAGGCGACAGTGATCAGTGTGAGAGACTCACGTTATTATTATGATATCCATTCTTGCTCTAAACATAATAGAATTCATTGCGTACATGTTAACCTAATACATCCACTGTGTTATCTTGATTCAGAGGGGCAATTGTTATCAAATCAACATGGAATGTGATGAGAAGGGAGTGATAGTGCTCGGTCTCTAAATCGGCTTCACTTGACTCTTTGGATTGAGTCGGTACTGATATTTCTTTCGGATTAAACATCGGACGAAAGTATCCACAATGTCAATTACTTAGAAAGGAAAAGCACATAATGGATACGAGCTAAATTATGAGTAACTCTCCACCACCGTAACTAGATACTATATACAGTCAGAAAGTGCAACAACTAAGCACAAAACTGACAGAATGCTGAGACATTCGTCGTCCTGTCACCTAGCTTCAACACATCTCCGTAGCGCTAACCAACAGCCTCCCAAATCAGAAGGTTCAAGGTTGTGGAGAGACCAAAGAAGGGAAGGTAAGCGCAACGAAAACGAGCACAGGCTACAGTCCCAGTGATGGACTAGTTGACTACAAAACAAACGTCGAATGTCTCCGTACTAAATCTACAGTGTACCTGTTCCACTAAAACAACGCCATCTCTTGCACACCTGATTCGCGGTCACAAACTATAGGGCGAAACGTACGTCGTGTGAAACAGCTTGTTTTGTCGTCAACTAGTCCATCACAATGTTATGCATGAGGAGTACTGTAGGAGTTTGGCTTTCGGCTTGTACAATTCGTTCTCGCAAAGCTTCCCCCTTCTGTACTTATACTTGATATTTCTGAGCCACCCAAGTTGGGTGGTGTGCTGCTTTGCTGCTTCGAAGTGTAGTTAGACTTCTTTGTCAAGTATCTTACTGGTCTTGTAATCATCCAGTAGCAATCGACATTCTTTGTTCCGTTGGGACTGTAGCTTGTGCTCATTTTCGTTGCGCTTACCTTCCCCTCTTTGTTCTCTCCATAACCTTGAACCCTCCGAGTTGGAAGGCTGTTGGATAGCGCTACAGAGATGTGTTGAAGCTAGGTGTCAGGACGTCGAATGCCTCACTATTCTGTCAGTTTTGTGCCTAGTTGTTGCACTACCTGACTGTATAATCTAGTTACAGCGGTGGAGAGTTACTCTTAACTCGTATCCATGTCCTTTTATTTTTATTTTTTATTGAATTTTATTTCATCGTCCAATGGCAGAAGCCACTGCAAAGGAGGGGGTGTTAGCCAGCCAAGGGAAGAGAAGGAAAAAAGAAAAAAAGTAGAGAACATAAAAATCGGAAGAAAAGAACGCATCAGTGGGGTGAAATTTATCACTAAGTTGACCATGGTGGATAGTGGCGAGATAAGCTAGCAAAAGAGGCGAGTGAGCCTACCACTTGGCATGACATTTAACATGGTCTATGAATTGTCTAATATTGGATATTGTCTTCATTTCCATGGGTAGCTTGAGCCAATACGAATATGCAGAAAAGATAGGGGATTTGGTAAACATAGTTGACAAAGCCCTGGGAAGTACTATGCCATTGCGAGTATCCCATGCGAAAGAAAACCAATTATACTTGCTGAGATGTACAGGGACAGTGTTCAGTTTAATACGATGGACCAAAACGCATGACTGTCTCTGTGACAGGATAGAGATGGGGCTGGTTTTCCTTTCTAAATACATTATTGGCTCAACCTCCGTGTTTCAAATGTCAATTATCCCTACATTTCTTCCTTCATTCCATCAGTCTTCACCATTTGGAGGCTTCTATGATTCCTTATTTTAATGCCGAATAAACATTATCGAATGCACTAAAGGAGAAAGCTAACCTACCTGTTTTCACAGTGGTAAGGTCTGGCAGGTCGCAAATAACCTTGCGCTTTAATTCGGGACTGATGGTCTTTGCGGTATACACAATGTTTGTGTCAAGGTATTCTCCATTATTGTCATACGACGTCCAGGCAGCAAATGGAGAGTTACTGCCGTGAATCTTTGCCATTAATGTTCTGGCGCATGTGATGGATTCTGGAAGTTTACCACCATTCTCCTCACAAAGCATAGTGGCCTCATCACGAGTCAAATCTTGGGGAAAGTACCTAAATAGTCGCGGCGTACCCCCTTGTGTACAAGTGTGTTCTACTGTCTCGGTTGGAGCACAGAAACAAACATCAAAAGATCAACGATATCAGGAAAACAACGCCATCTACTAAAACTGAAGTTCAGGAAAATAAAAACTAATGCCAGTTGACAAGGAGCTAAGTGTAGATGGAGTTAATTTAGAGTGGTCTGTTGACCAGAGGGGGAGGGATGAGTGTCAGCAAATACATGACTGGGTTAGGGCTGGCTGATCAAGCTGTACATTTCTACAGTACGTATTGGATAACTGCACCTCCGTTCCCTGAGACTGCCGCGAACAGGATAATTTTGGCAGTGTTGGTGCCTTCTATACGGCTGCCCCACTGTCCACAATGGGGCGAAGTACGGCAAAGATAAATAGTCAAATATCACTCATTGCCTAAACATAATGATGTGTGATACACTTACCAGGTCCAACTACACACAACTGGTTAGCAAAGTTTTGTTCCATGTGACCCGTCTCTTTGTGAATCAGAGATCTGAAGTCTTCAACGCACTTCATGTCGCCCTCAGTTGGCACCCGAGCTTTTTGATCCTGACAAAATGCCGTCATCCTTTCGACGCTGTTCATTTCAGAGGGCGGATAACGGATCAATCGTATATCCTGGGTGCACAAGTATTCCCCTGACACAAATAGGCAGAGAGAAAAAAGAAGAGGGAAAGAAGCATACACAGCGATAGGAAGTAAGCCAACAAACACACACAGGACTATCGGATATTATAGGAGACAGCTCGCCAACACGGTGACTGTTTGCCAGCTATGCGGGCCTACCTCAAGAACTTATTATATTTGAAGGAGTCCATAGAGGCCTGATCAGACGGCGGTAAATTGTCAGTGCCTGACGAAAAAGCGAAAAATGTTTTTTCGATAAAAATCACGTATTTCTTTACACTTGTGTGCAACTACTCAACTCCAATAACAAATCAAACCAATTTATTTTTCACCAAATCTTTGGGTCGGACCCAACATCAGGTGGATATATTGCACTGCAGCACATGCAAACATAAAATCCAAGATTCTATTGGAGCGTCGAGTGACACTATAATCACGGATCCCATCAAATTCATTCACCATGGAGTCGTCAAACCCTTCGGTGCAAACATTACAATCATTCTGTTCAGCTTCGTCGTTGCCAATGGCGACTTAGGACTTCAGTTTGGAGATGAGAAATCAGCGAGTAACAGTGTGAAAAGGGACACCGACACCATGTTCCTGCTTGGAGTGGTAAACCTGATTGAGTCTTTATTAGTGGGGAGACAAACCTTCGTTTAGACACTCTGGAGTCTGTTTTTTCTGGAGATTCGGAGTATTCACATTTTAATATTTATTTGAATAAGAGGTTGGTCCGACTTCGTCGCTACTTGAGGAATTGTGTGTTGCTCTCTACATCTCTTCCTGCCGACTTGAATTCTCACTTGACTGACTCGCGACTGCCATCCAAAGCACACGAGATGTCCATCTAGCCGTCCACTAGGCAAACCTGCCATAAAGCACCACCCCCTGCTCAATACACAGTGTTTCGGGGAATTTACCCCTCATCAGTTGGGCTTGAGTAGGCTGAGGAAGATTGTGCCTGAAGAGCACCACCTTTATGGTGCTCTCCAGGCACAAAACATCACTTACGAAGACGCTCCGTTTCCAGTGCAACAAACACCTCCTAAACACCAGATGGCAGCGTGAATCAGTATCGCTCTTGGAGGTGCTGAACAAGCGCTGAGGACCTTTGGTTATTCACAACGCTGTTGCCTCCAAACCCGGTGAAGTGAGAATTCAAGTCGGCAGGAATAGCGCGAGCTCCAATGTAGGGCACAACACACAATTCCCCAAGTATCGCTGAAGTCGCACCAACCTCTTCTTCACACTGTTGTCCCCAGCGCGAGCTTGCGAATTAGATGGTTTGGAGGCAACAACGTTGCGAATGGCCAACGGTCCTCAGCGCTTGTTCAGCACGAGCTCCAGTGTGGGGAGCAAACTGTTTCTAGTAGTTTATTACTAGTGCAATATGTTTACTTGTGTTATGTATGTGGCTTTTGACACTCCGTACGTTAACTATCTGCACATGTAGCATGGTTACTGTACAGGACTAGAACTCAGCAGTGTGTCGTGTTATCCTGGTGGAACTAAGTAAGTTGTTGACAGTTCGTGTGTTTGTTAGGACTGTTTTGATAATTTCTGTGTCGCCTATTCTGCAGTTGCATGCGTATAAGCACCTCATTAACCGCACTCGCTCCTCATCCTTCCATTTGGCAAAAGGTGTGTTGCTCCCTACGCGGGAGCTTGCGCTATTCCTGCCGACTTGCATTCTCACTTGACTGACTCACGACTGCCATTCAAGGCACACGCGATAAGTCCATCGAACCATCCACTGGTGATCACGAGGTGTCTGTCGCGCTGTAAACGGGGTCTCTGTAAGTTTGTATCCCTGGTGATGTTTGTGCCTGGAGAGCACTATATAAGTGGTTCTCTTTAGGCACAATCTTCCTCAGCCTACTCAAGCCCAACTGATGAGGGGTGAATTCCCTCAAACACTGTATATTGAGCAGGGAGTTGTGCTTCCTGCATAAGGTCCTTGATTCATAATGCTCTGGGGTGGGTGGTGAAGTTCTTTCAGTCCTATTTTCCTCCAAACCCTCTCGCATTTCCTATCATCGATATTTAAAAAGCGTTACTAGTAGGTGTTTCTTCCTGTTGTTTACCTACCATCATAATGAACATCCATATGATGTATAGACCCACCTTTGGCTGCTGGATGCTAGCTAGTTCAAAGCCATAAAACGTTCATCGCCAATATCACCGAACCCTGGTGTTTGCCGCCCAAACATAATCTTTTGAAATTATTGAGGGAACTGCAAATCCAAAGGATCAGTGGAGGAAGTGAACTGCATTAAAGGACAAAGAAATGCCAACCACACCAGGACTCGACTTCGGGTCCTTGCTTGTCATGACCAGTGTTCTACACATCTGAGCTATGGGACGAAGCCGAACCTATAAGGTGATGAGAAGTGTTTCACTGCAAAGGCACAACACATACTGAAGGCATTTGGGTCTTTTTTCCATCCCGCAGGGGACCAACCACAGTCAGTTTGAAAGGACCCAAGTGCCATCCATATGCCATCAGAAAGAAACCCACTATCCATGATTGCCTGTGTGCCTGTGTGGCTTACTGAGATTGAAGGCGCATGCCACAGTGTGGCGGGCATCCCGCGCTTGTGCATTGGAAGGCACGTCAGTTCTGTGCAGAGTATACCGGGCGCCTTCGCTGAGGGGATCCTCCACATGTGTCAGTACCCATGGCCTGGTTTCATCAGCGAGTGCGCCCACTTTGCCGACAGCTTGTTGTAGGCATTCAGCTTCCTGACTTCCGACGGGTGGACGTCCGCCTAGACGTCGACATTGCTCCTTGGCCTCCGTCAACGTAGCAAGATCGGCGTACACGATGATTTGAGCTCTAGTTCTCGGGCACAGGTGCTTGCCCTCTGTACAACGGATCAGAGCATACACAACATGTAGCATGAGTGTGCGGTATGTACGTGGCCACCGGTACGGCTCAGTGTGTGGTGTGTCTGTCTATGAGTGAGTGTGTAGTGTGTCTGTCAATAGAAAGGTTTAGCACAACGAAATTCCTTGTTCATTTTTCGTTTTGCCGCCGTACGAAAAAGCCGACCGAAATTCGCTGAATTTGTTTAGCAGAACGTTTTCAACGAACTTCGGTGTTGCCACTGGGTACCGTGGATGTCGCGGAAATCCCCGAGAAATACAAAATATTAATAGTACATGTATTACCGTAAAATACCGTTGATCCGCACCCCCCCCCCCCCACACCATGTCGCTTCCCAGCTGGGTTTTCAGCAGGGGGCGGGAATTCGATCAAGGCTGTCAAGTGCAGTACGATGTACAACAACGTGGAGGATCAGACTCGATGTGCTGAATTGCGCACATTTTCATCCTGGATTGGCACGTATTGTGTACAGCAGTGCCTGCGTCGGTTCAACATCGTATTTTGTTGTTTACACCGAAGTCGCTTCACAGGTAGAAAATCGACAGGGGGCGGGAATTAGAGAGAGGGCGGATCAACGGTACTTTACGGTACTTCAGTAACGTCTGGTGCTAGCCAGGGTCCACACAGCTTTAATTCCGTGTTTGTTTGTTTGTTTGTGCCATTGGCATGCCTGGCGCTATCCCGCACCTGTCCCGCATCGTACCGTACCATCAAATACAGCTGTCCACAATATTCAAACAGGATTGTCAAATGCAAGATCATAACATGAAGCAACTTGGAAGAATGAGTATGTATGCGGAGTGTATCCAGGGAATGCATGCAGGGCGATAGTGCGGGTTCGAACGAATAACAGGTTATGTCTTGGAAAAAATAGGAGAAATGAAAAACGTATGACATCCCGATGCTTTTTTGCCTAGGTCATCAAGATGGTAGACGTCGTATTACCCTTGAATGCAAAGAGAAAGTTTATTTATTTCGCTCAGGGCCCTACGTGTATACGCTATGGTTTTTTGGCTTAGCTCATCATGCATGTTATTCGAACAGATGGAAACCTTTTGCAATACAATGATGTAGCCGATCAGTTCGTTGTGGTATGGTTGGGCATTGCAGCCGTCATGGTCGACGTAAAATACTACAAGACCGCAACGAAGTTGGGGCCAAAGAGAAAATTCCATCAATTCTAATAACATGCATGATGAGCTAGGCAAAAAAGCATAGCGTAGGGCCCTGAGCTTCCAAGCTCACTCGTTTGATCAGCACTGTATATTGTGATTTTGTGCGTGCAAAGTGCGCCACTAAGCGGCCACAGGTCGCTGGCATGGCAGACACGAGCAGTGCGGGTCCGTTTTTGCAGTGTGCAAGTGACCTGAAGTGTGTTATTCCACTGCATTTCAATATCCAGTGGCATATTCCACTGCATGTCAATATGCAGTGTAGGTACACATTATTACCATCCCTACTATTCAGCAAGCAGCTAAACTTTGATTCCTCTTTATCCGTGATTGTATTTCTTTTTCTCTCATCTGCCACAGGCCATCGTGCGAATGCCAGATTTCAAACGACAACAACAACAACAGCAACAACAGCAACAAAGACAAGAACGCCAACACCAGGTAAAGCCATTTGCCGTCAACACAGACCTTGTCTGTTCCAACACAGACCTTGTCTGTTCCGCGCCACACTGCAAACTGCAAGTGCAGTGCAGTGTTTCAGTGGTTGGAGCGCCAGCACCTCCTAATCAACACTGCAACAACACTAGTTCTCACATTCTACAACGGAAATCGCCCCCTTACCATCTCCCACGTACAGAGCTAAACAATGTACATCTCAGGAGTGTCCTGCAACATTGCCACCTCGGCATCATCTTTCCGCATCACCTAAGATGAATAGCCCACCTTGACTTTGGGCTGAAGAAAGCTGTAAGATCATTTAGTGTTCTCTTTAGGCCACGGTCACACTAAGCGCGATTCAGCCATTCAGCGGAAAAGTGCTTTTAAAAGCGAGTTTTGACGTCATCATTGCTACAAAACGGCTGAATTTTCGGCTTCAGCCATTTTCAGCAGTCAGCCGTTTTCAAAGTGCTGAATGGAGAGCTAAATTGATTCAGCCAGTTTCAGCCATTCTGCCGCATTCTCGGGAAAAACAAAATTATGCAAATCCAAAGCACACCTTGCCGTGGCCGTGGATTGATCCTGTTCTGAAATATTCCTGCTTCCATTGTTTGTTTCGTTGTTGGTCCAACTTCTCTCATTGCCTGCTGTCTGTTATTGTCCTCATCTTTCCTTGTGCACTTTCTACGAGGTATGATTTGGTTCAGAAGCGCCAGACAAGGGAGACTATTGTGCGATAGAAGCATGCAGACTACGACACGCAGTCTAGTTTCAGGATCCATGGCTGCAATGCCAGCTCAAATCTCCCTCAATCTTTCAAACAAACACCATGACTCCAATGAAGCTCCCAGTACATGTACCAATACTCTGCTGATTGCCACGTACCTATTCAACAGAAAATTAAAATTAATTTTAAATTTTAAGAAATCAAATTCAAAAATGGACGCGAACAAGCAAAAATTCAGTCACTTTTGCATCAACTGTTGCACCGAAAAATGCTGTTGGAGCAAGGAGAAGCTTGTTGGTTGGAGTGACATGTGATCACCGCTGCTTTTCCTTGTCACAGTCAACAATACACTTTATTCTGCAGCGTTGGGAGTGGTGCGGGGGAATAATTTGCTGACTAGACGTAGCTGAGGGGCGAGCTTTCCCGCGCAGGTATGTTGGCACGTCTTTCAGCATAGTTGAGTGGAAATATTCAAAATTGTTTATTTCAAGAAAACCCAAAAAGGATGATGGGCCTTTGATGGGGGATATGTCCTTAATGCTAGAAGAGGTGTTCTACTATCTGCCGGTGTATAGTGCTTGCTAATTGAGGACGTTGCTCGCTGTTTCATCAGCACTTGTAATTTGGCTATTTTCAAGATGACCATTTGTGGCGTCAAGGTAAGATGGCCCTTATCTTCTGAGATGCCGGTGTGGCTAAGCGGTGCTGCCCCAAGAACTCTTCTAATTTTAAGCAATGTTGGATGGATGGAGTTTTGTTCGTAGCTTGTTCTGGGACGCTGTGGCGTGGCTCGTTTGTAGTCCCATAAATCATGTGATTTGTCGACCATGTTTGAGGGATATGCCAATTTCATGGTTCCCTTCAGAAACCTTTCCGCGGGCCTTGCATAGTCAATCTACAATCCAAAGGAATCTTCCCTGGAAAATTTGAGCGAAAATGGAGAGGTCGACTTGCACAAATATTCTGGTTTTCTCAGACATGCTATCATAAAAGCTATCTCCTCTGGACCACCGTTTCTTACAGTTGTTCATTAAATTTATCTTTCATTAGAGAGGTTAAGTTTCACGTAAAAGTCTTACGTCCGTGAACTTTTACGTCAAAAAGTGAAAAACTCACGTAAAATTTGACCTGTTTTACGTGAGTTGACTGTCCCGCACGTAAGTTCATGACGTAAGTTTTTGGAAGTTTCGCTTGGTTATTCCGACCAAATTTGTGTGAGTTTCCGGAATTTTATCGAATTTTATCGAGTTTGTTGAAAGATTTGATATTTGTGCGAACTAAACCCGAATCCTGCCAGGCAAAATGTCACGTCACGTCGCACGTGTAACTTAACCTCTAAAAATTACACGTAACGTGAGATTTGCACCGCGTTTTGAAAAAGGGCAAAAAACGTGTAACTTAACCTCTCTACTGTGAAGTAGCATCCCCAGTTACCAGTTTAGATTCTCTATTTTGTAAGCGCAGTACACCTGCATACACCACATGCTGCGTTTCTGAAATAATCTTTATTTATCCCGATATAATAGTGCATGCGGGTATCGTTTATTATCTAGTAGGATCGCTTTACTTTGGAATGCTCTGCCCTTTGAAATGAAGTCTTGTAATACGTCTTCTACATTTAATGCCCATTTTGCCTGCCTTATTAATGACGGGCCACAATGTACCGGATTAAATCGGCTCCTTTTTGGAAAAAATTTCAATGAGTGATTTAAATGTCAAAAAGAGGACCAACAGTCACGTCTAGAATGCGCAAACCAGCAGCCTTCCAACTTGGAAGGTTCTAAGTTATGAAGTAACGTAAGAAAGGGGAAGGTGATGATGCAGCTAAGCATCAGGTCGTTGAATGTCATGATCTCATCAGTTAGTTTTGTGCTAATTGTTGCACATTTTTGACTCAACACTATTCTGCTTATAACCGTTAGTGTTGGACAAAATGGATAACTTGTAAACTTTTGGTCCTCTTTTTTAATTTTAATCCTTGGCTCTCCATCCGAGTTGAATGAGTGATTTGTCCCTCTATTTTGCTTTACTTGGTGCTTTCCTCAAATGTCAAGCTATCGTATTTATTCAGTTTTACTTCTTGTGTTCTTGCATATTATTTTAGTCCCACAAATTGTGATAAAATAATTACCTGTAGCACCTATAACAGTACATTCATATCCCACTTGTATTTTTATGTACACTGTCATTCGGATCTTCCCAAGTTGTACATTGTATTGTTGAGATCCCGACTTCAAATAAATATCGCGGTTATGTAGTTAGTGTGTGTTAGCATCCACCGATCACATCGCCATGTTTGCATTTGCCACGCACTGCTGTGTCAGTGCTTTGCGCACTGCACTCACACTGCCAGCGCATGGATTTGGACGCGCTTAGCCTGACGTCGCACAACTGTTTTCTTTAAACTTTCTCTTTCTTTCTTGCCGTTGGTTTCACTTCAAAGTCTAATTAGTGGTGACTTTTAGCTTGTGCCAGCATCAAATTTTCACCCTTCATCCCTCCCATCTTATCCTCTTGCTAATGGTACTAGGGAACATTTGGCTTTATCGCTCCTATCTGGTCATTTGCTTCGCTAGTTGCGGCTCATCATGAGCCAGTTGCGGCTCATCACGAGCCAGTTGCGGGTCATCACGAGCCAGTTGCGGCTCTTCAGGAGCCAGTTTTTGCCAATTGCATCGACTATGCCTTGCAACTCCATTGTGGCACTATGTGGGTTTACTGTGGCTCCTCGCGAGCCAGTTTTTGCCAGTGGCCTGGCCTTGCTTTCCAGCTCTTTGAGCTTTTTGCATTACAAGACCAGTTACGCGAAGCAGCACACTATCTCCAAACGAGTTCCTTTGTGCTCTGGGCTGAGTGTGAGTTTGTGAGGGATATGGTTCTAATCAACACAAAAAAATACAATACTGTACTTACGGTAGAGGAATTCACACGCAACATTGAGTCGCGTTTGAGGATAGCCAATTATGGAATGTTTTGAACCATCCGATCCTCGTCGCACTACAGCTGATGATGTGCCTCCCGATATCCAAACGATAGGCTTATACTGAGTGTCCAGTTTGATGTAGAGGGCATCCATAAACAAATTTGGGCAGGAGGCGGTTATTGGTACGTTTCCATTGAGCTTGGCGCAGAACCTTACTGCTCGATCGTAGGATAATTTAATGTTGAAGTACCTCAGTTTTGTGAAGATGCCCAGACATTTGAAGTCCTCTGAAATCACAGAAAAGGGACAAAGGAAAGCCAAGGCGACAGTGATCAGTGTGAGAGCCACATCCTTATATTATGATATTCATTCTTGCTCTAACCATAATACAATCCACTGCCTACATGTTAACACAATACATTCACTCCATAGCCCTGATCATCATCATCATCATCATCATCATCTGCGTTGCCGAAAAAATAATAATAGTAAAATAAAAAATATAAAATAAAAAACGGCATTATGCAGCTGTGTAAGCTGTGTAAGCAGTAGATGCACAGTGTTGATGCACAGTGTATAGTCCTGATACAGAGCGGAAATTATGAAATACACATTGCATCTGATCCGGGTCATGACAATAATGTTCGGTTACTAAATTGGTTTTACTTGACTTTTTGGAATGCGTCGGTGCTGACATTTCTCTCCAGATAACCATCGAACATGTCAATTATTTCCTAAATTTTCTTCCTTCGTTCCACCAGCCTTCACCATTTGGAGGCTTCTATAATTCCTTATTTTGATACCGATTAACCATTATCTAACGCACTTTAATGAGAAAGCTAACCTACCTGTTTTCACGGTGACAGGGTCTGGCAGGTCGCAAATAACCTTGCGCTTTAATTGGGGACTGATGGTCTTTGCTGTATACACAATGTTTGTGTCAAGGTACTCTCCATTATTGTCATACGACGTCCAGGCAGCAAATGGAGAGTTACTGCCGTGAATCTTTGCCATTAATGTTCTGGCGCATGTGATGGATTCTGGAAGTTTACCACCATGCTCCACACAAAGCAGAGTGGCCTCATCACGAGTCAAATCTTGGGGGAAGTACCAAAACATTCTCGGAGAACCCGACTCCGTACAAATGTATTCTACTGTCTCTGTTGGAGTACAGAAACGAACATCAGAAGATGGATGATATCAGTTAAACAAAGCCATCTTCTAAAACTGAAGTTCAGGATATAGAACTAATGCCAGTGGACAAGGAGCTAAGTGTAGATGGAGTGAATTTAGAGTGGTCTGCTGACCAGAGGGATAGGGATGAATGTCAGCAAATACATGACTGGGTTAGGGCTGGCTGATCAAGCTGTACATTTCTACAGTGCGTATTAAATATCTGCACCTCCGTTCCCTGAGACTGCGGCAAACAGGATAGTTTTGGTAGTGGTGTTGCCCTCTCTACAGCTGCCCTACCGAGTACAATGGGACTAAGTACGGCAAAGATTAATATTCATAATACTACTAATTGCCTAAAAAATAATGGTGTGTGCTGTACTGTACTTACCAGGTCTAACTACACACAACTGGTTAGCAAAGTTTTGTTCCACGTGACCCGTCTCTTTGTGAATCAGAGATCTGAAGTCTTCAACGCACTTCATGTCGCCCTCAGTTGGCACCCGAGCTTTTTGATCCTGACAAAAAGGCGTCATCATTTCGGCGTTGTTCATTTTCGAGGGCGGATAATGGACCAAATGTGTTTCATTCGTGCAGAAGTGTTCCCCTGACACAAAAGGCAGAGAGCAAAAAGAAGAGAAAGAAACACTCATAGCGGCAGGAAGCAAACACTGAAACACACAAAGGACGATCGGATATATAGGGGACAGCTCGCAAACACGGTGACTCTTATATTATTTTATAAATATTATCGAGCCAGGAGCGCATAATTACATTCGCTCTGAAACTATGACATGCTTTGCCATGAGCGCATAAGTGCGGAAAACATTCGGGCATTGTATCGCATAGACTAGTGTCCAAACTAGTGTAACTTCGTGAAATATAAACGTATCGCGACAATCAATACACCGTTGCAAAGATCTTGAACTCATCGTTCCAAGGATAAAAAGAGTACCCGCGATAGGATAGAGATTCACTGAGCGGCGAAAGGATAAATACCAAAATCACGGCCCAGAGTGTTTCGTCATGACTTCGCAGTTTTGTTTTTTGGAGCGTGCTACATTTCCCATTGGCACGACGCATGCATGATGGACATCAAATAAAGCTCTTTTAAGTTAACCCTTTACCGTTTGTACGTACAAATTTCGACCGCTCGCGGTCGATGACTTCTATGCGCACAGCGCTGGACTGGTTCACCGCAGAGAGCTGGGATTTTCCCTACTGGTAGCCAAGATGTACGCGCAGAGGGTGCCGACAATTTTTTTGTGTGATGCAATATAAAAAATCGCGAAAATCGCGACTTGAAAAATGCGCTTGGGGAAAAGTGCGTACCCTGTGACTTTTGGTACTGCCTGCAGATTATTTCGACTTTGCTTGAGCTGGCCTCACAACTGTCTGCCCTGCTGTGCAAGCCATGGACGCGGAGCAAGCTCTTTCACTTCTGGAGACCCTTCCTGACGACTCTGTCGCTGCCTCATCCAGCGAAGATGAGTTTGTGGAGCCAGACAATCCTGTTGAAAATATTTACTCTGACAACGACCGCGACGATGACATGGCGAGTGAAAGCAGCGCCAGTAAGAGTGCCATGGATGTCACAGACGACGACAGTGTCGCTGAGATGAGTGCCACTAATGGTGGAAGGGGACGTGGCAGAGAGAGAGGATTCGGCCTTGGAATAGGCCGTCGTCACGGTAGAGGTCGTGGTGTACAGGTACTATGTATAGCCAGCGGTGCAATCTGCACTAGTCGATATTTGCAATACTTGGGACAATGCTGACACCGCTGTGACTGATAACACTCCTGCATTCAACCCAGAGAACGAACCTGGTATCCACTTACCTGAGAGAGCCACTCCAGTGCAAGGATCTGATTTATTGCATATTGCAACAGTTTGCCCGATCGGCAATACATCCAAATAATTATTAGTGCTAAATAGGGAAATCTGTGTTCGTTTTCTGGACTTGAAAGTTGTTGCATCGCATTCCTGAGGGTTTTTACTTTCAGAATCACCCCATTTTGTACATAATAAAAGTGAAAAATAAAAAAAGTTACGGCATGAACAGTGACGGTCGGTTTTTGCTGTACAAATACCTAAAACGGTAAAGGGTTAAACAATTGGACAAGATGTCGAACAATGACGTGAAATTGAGGTGTTGTACCCTTTGGAGGCACGGTGGAGTAGTTTGGAGAGGAGGTGGATGTGGCCCTGGTGTGTCTATGTCGCTGAGATCAACCATGATGGATTTGCTTAGTCCTGATCTTTCCAAGGAGCCAAGATGATGAAAGTCCATCAAAGTGGAGTGAAATGAGACTAAATTTCATTCAGACCTGTTCGCGCAAACTACACCAAGAGAGTCAGTGCTCTGGACAGCTGGCCGATTGGAGAAAAGGGGACCCAGGATGGAATGGGTTAATTAATAGAGTGGGTGACTGCAAACCACGGCGATAAATTAAAGTAGGGGGAGGGAAAACGAAAGAGTAGCGAAATTTGCCAGCCAAAGCAGTCCATAGAGGCCTGGTCAGACTGCAGTGAATTGTCAGTGCCTGATGAAAAAGGGAAAATGATATTTTCCATTAACATGACGTATTTCTCTTCTTATGTATGAAACTTCACTCCTCAACTCCAATACCAGTCCCTTCACTGCAACTCAAACCAATTTATATTTCACCAAATCTTTGAGTCGGACCCAACATCAGGTGTTGTAGCACATACAAACATGAAATTCAAGATGCTATTGGAGCGTCGAGTGACCCTTCAATCACGGATCCCCTGATATTTGTTCACCTTGGCACCGCCAGCACCTTCAGTGAAATCATTCTAATCATTCTTTTTCAGCTTCGACGTCATCAGTGGCACTTCAGTGCGGAGATGACAAATCAGTGAGTATCAGTGTCAAAGTGGGCACCAGCACTACGCTCCTGTTTAATAGGAACGGAAACACGTGGTTGGGTTTTTCTACTTAATGGAGAGACAAACCTCCATTTAGACACTCTGGAGTCTGGCTATCATGGAGACTTGGATTACTCACATTTTAATAAGTTACATGTAAAATAGAAGAAAAACATTCCACGACCTGAGACCTACTTGTAGGTCTAACACATGGCCAGTGCCCAAACTAACAGCCTCCCAACTTGGAAGGTCATGGTTATTGGGGTAGGAAAGAAGAGGGGTAGGAAAGAAGAGGGGAAGGTGGGCGTACTACCAGACGGAGAACATTCCAAGTTGAAAGGCTGTTGGTACGAGCACTGGAGATGTGCTAGAGCTAGGTCTCCGGTCCGGTCTCCGGTGTCTTAATAGCCTGTCAATGTTGTGCCCTGTTATCACACTTGATGACTGTTTATTATGTTGATACAGTCGTGGGTTGTTACATCATAACTCCTTCCCATCACTGTGTTTTTATTTTATTTTAAGATTTTTACTGCCTCAGTAGCGAGTTCCATAATAATTAAAATTTGCATGAGGCATCGGCAGCAAGAACCGGGTCCCTATCGAATTTTCAAAATACCCATATTTGCGGAAAAAATGGAAGCAGTGTTATATTCGATCCTCTCAAACAAAGCGAAAAGACTTCTTGCGGTATTTCTTTTACTATCTCAGAAGGTGCTCTAACATATGCGTCTCTGATGGCCAGAAACATGGACGCCCTCACTCGTATGACGAAAGCTGCAATCCGTGCCTTCCTTGGCTTTCCGCCGTTGACTTCTACTGCAGGGCTCTTCGAGAGACTCTGTCTTCCTTTCCTCGAGGACGCCCTAGCAGTGAAAATCCTAATATTCGTTCGTCGGTGCATCCATGGCCGTTCAAGTGTCCTGTTTAGGAATTATTTTTTCAGTGGAGGAAGTGGACTGCCTGAAAAGAGAAAGTAATGCCAACCACACCAGGACTTGAGGTAGGGACATTGCTTGTAAAGCCTACTTCACATTCGATCGGGCGCGACGGGAAGCGACGTAAGGATCGACGGGAAGCGACGGGACAGTCTGACGGCGTCCAGTGTGAACACCAGCAACGGTAACTCAACCGTCCGGCCGTCCGGAGCGGGAAGCGATGAGAAGAGTTGGATCAGTTCAACTGTTCATACCGTAGACGCGCGTAGACGGGGTTGCAAGCGTACAAACGGCTGCATTCTGAGTGTGAGAAGGAGACGATGTCGTGCCCTGACTACTCCTGAATCGTACTGGGAATTTTTTTAGCATTTCGAACACTGCGCTTCCCATGATAATTCGCAGAATGGCTAACACGACTTGAGTTGAATCTTAGCAAGATACGGTCTGATGTCACTTACTGTATTTAGGGATAGTTCAGGAGGATGACAGACAAACTGTTTTAGCATTTCCTGGAGCTTTTATTTGAATGGCAGACCTTTCGAAGCTACTTTATTGGTCTTCATGAAAAACTGGTGTTGTTGACTTGATTCCGCTTCATTCAAGGAGAAATAATTGAAAGAAGTCCCGAAAAACAAGAAATTAGTTCCAAAAGTCAACCTGTCACGGACTCGTGCCGTTTGCTGGTGACCTGCAGCATGTGGTGTCGTACGATTCGTACAAAATTTGACTGCTCACCCCAGCCTTCCCGACAGGCCCTTACATCCCGCACCGTCAGCGTTCCGTCGAATGTGAATTAGGCTTTACGAGCAGTGCTCCACCCATCTGGGCTATGGAACCAAACCGAACCTAAAAGGTGCTGACAAGTGTTTCACTTGAAGGGCACAACACGTACCACACCAACTGAAGGCATTTGGGTCTTCCCCCCCCCCCCCCGTGCCATCCGTACGCCATCAGAAAGAACTACTCATGACTGCCTGTGTTTGGACTTACTGAGATTGAAGGCGCATGCCACGGTGTGGCGTGCATCCGACGCTTCTGCATTTGGCGGCACACCAGCCCTGTGCAGAGTATACCGGTCGCCTTCGCTGAGGAGATCATCCTGATGTGTCAGTAGCCACGGCCTGGTTTCGTTAGCGTGTGCGCCCACTGTGCCAAGAGCTTGTTTTAGGCATTTAGCTTCCACACTTCCAGCGGGTAGACGTCCGCCTAGACGGCGACATTGCTCTTCAGCTTCCGTCAGGGTAGCGAGATGGGCGAACACAGAGACGTGAGCTCGTGTTGTTAAGCACAGGTGGCTGCCCTCTGCACAACGGATCAGAGCATACACGACATGTAGCTTGAGTGTGCGGTGTGTACATGTACATGGTCATCTGTAAGGCGGTGTGTGTAGTGTGCCGGTCAATGAGTGATTGTGTAGTGTGTCTGTCCATGAGTGAGTGCGTAGTGTGTCTGTCCATGAGTGAGTATTTGTCAGTGCAATATTACCTTGTAATATAATTATGAGCTAAAGTGTGTGCACAATACCGGGTTATTCCACTGCATGTCAAGGTTCAGTGTAGGTGAAAATATCGGTGCAGAAGTAAGACGCCTTATCTTTGTAGCTATGGGTGCATGTGTGCGCACATGTGTGCACGTGTGTATAATTTTGTCTGTGTATGTGTGTGTGCGTGTGTGTGTGTGTGTGTGCATGTGTGCATGTTTGTGTGTTTTTGTTAGTGTGTGTTTGCTTCTGTGTTCGTTCCGTCAGTGCATGGGCGTGCGTTTGTGCTTTTGTATGTGTGTGTGTGTGTGTGTCAATATCACCACAGTTCTATCACACACACACACATAGGCGCGTGCACACACACACATACACACACAGGCGCGCACACGCGCACACATACACAACCAATTGTTTTCTTTCCATCTCTCTCTCTCTCTCTCTCTCTCTCTCTCTCTCTCTCTCTCTCTCTCTCTCTCTCTCTCTCTCTCTCTCTCTCTCTCTCTCTCTCTCTCTCTCTCTCTCTCTCTCTCTCTCTCTCTCTTGATCAATCTATATTAATTGTTTTTGTTTATTTTATCTTCTCTTTCTTATGTCTGTTGCACTGTTGGTCGGAGGAGTGCACTGCGCCTGACCAGCACAGCTCTTGTAGCACCTACTGCTCCTTTGTTGTCTTTGTATTTTGTCTTTCTCTTTCATTACCCCCATTACTTTGGAGGGATGTGCACAGTCATAGTATTAAAAAAATATTGGAAGCTGTGTATATTTAGAATAGGTGAATGTCACACTAATATAGTTAGTGTGTGTAAGCATTCACGGATCACACTGCCATGTTTGCATTTGCCATGAACCACTACGTGAGTGCCTTGCGCCCTGAACTCACATTGCCATCGTAAAGCCTGACGTTGAACGTATCTTCCATGGCAACGCCAAACAAAATGGCGTCATTCCGGCATGTGCACGACTTTCTCTTTCTTTCTTGCTGTTGGCTTCACTGCAAAGTCAAGTTATTAATTTTGCGACTTTTAGCTTGTGCTAGCATCAGATGTTCACCCTCCCATGCCCACCATATCCTCGTGCTAATGGCACTAGGGAACATTTAGCTCTATAGCTCCTAACTGCTCATTTGCTTCCCTAGTTGCGGCTCATCACGAGCCATTTGCGGCGCTTCATGAGCCAGTTGCAGCTAATTGCATTGGCATTGCTTTGCAACCCCATTGTGTCACAATGTGGGTTTATTGCAGTTCCTCGCGCGCCAGTTGCTGCCAGTTGCCTGGCATTGCTTTGCAGCTCTTTGAGCTTTTGCATTTCAAGACCAGTTACTCGAAGCAGCAAATTATTTCCACAACAATTCCTTGGGATTAGTATGAGTGTGTGAGGGATATGGTGCAATGGGTGTATTGGCAGTCTATGTATGATGTCGATGGATTTCTCAATGTGCTTCGGATGAGGCTTGATTTTCTACCTGGCGAGACCCGATGGTGCTGATCCACAATTTTAGTATATTATGCATACTTGCGCACTGAATCGCATAGCCTCATTGGCCAGATAAGAATCAAAAACATGGGGATGTTCATTCCATAATCTCAACCATCCAAAAACTTACGTTCAGAAGGCGAAGCTGCACCAAAACAAGACCACAAAAACAACATTGAGTGGATCGAACCTTGTCTGTATCAATCAAATAATAATTATCATGATTGCATAGGCATGGTCAAATACCGATATCACTCAAACATTGGCTTCTTCAATGCCTCAGTCAACCTCATGCATCCACTTTGACAGACGTGCGAAGAGATCCCCCAAAGTTGAGGAAATTTGGATATTTGGACATGCCATTTGATGTTTGTTGTCGTAGATATTGATTCATTTTGAGACAAAGTCAGCAAGTTTGGCAGGAAGCATTGTGTTCCTCGTTGGAACAAACTTAATAACTAATACTGCCGAAGCAGCAGATTCTAAATTAACCAGGATCCACACAGCTTTAATTCCGTGTGTGTGTTTGTGTGTTTGTGCCGTCGGCATGCCTGGCGCTATCCCGTACCTGGCCCGCACCATACCATCAAAGACAGGTGGCCGTAATATTCAAATTTGGGCTTTCAAATGCAAGATAATAACGTGAAGCAACTTGGAAGAATGACTACGTATGCGAGGTGTATCGGAGGAATGCATGCAGGGCGATAGTACGGGTTCGAATCCTAGGTTATAATTATTTTGATAAAAAATTGGAGAAATGAAAATTGTATAACATCCCTATGCTTTTTTGCCCTACATCATCAAGGTGGAAGGCGGTGTCGTATTACCCTCGAATGCAAAGAGAAAGTTTATTTAAAATTTTCTTTCGCTCAGGGCCATACGCTATGCTTTTTGCCTAGCTCCTCATGCATGTTATTCGAACAGATGGAGACTTTTTGAAATACAATAATGTAGCCAATCAGTTCGTTGTGGTATGGTTGGGCATTGTAGCCGTCATGGTCGACGTAAAACACTACAGCCAATCAATGGAAAAAACATTTCCATCAGTTCTAATAACATGCATGGTGAGCTAGGCAAAAAAGCATAGCGTAGGGCCCTGAGCTTCCAAGCTCTCTCGTTTTTTTAATACAAAATTTTTTTTAATAGAGGTCGTAGGCGGATAATACTTTTTAAAGTTGGATGCTGAACTTTGTGCACAGAAAGAAAGTGTGGTGTCTCTACAATTGTTTGGTGTTGTTCCTCGTTGAGGTGTATGTGAGAATGTGACTTAATCTGCTAACTATGTTGTTGTCACTATTAGTTCCCTTTGAGATTTGTGTCGTTCTGAACTTGATAATTCTCCACCTTGTCATGAGCTTTGTTGTTCCATTATCTTTACTGATGCGGCCCTTGACGCCCTCAAAGTTGTACAAGTGCAAGTGACAGTAGTGTGCGCGTGTGCCGTATGAACTGTGCATGTGCTGTACTCATACGCATGCATGCTTACAAAACCGTGCCAAACAAAGACAAGTGTAACATTCATTTTAAGTTCAGCACAAGTAAAGAAGACGGGGATCGTTTCGAAGCAGTTTATATCAGAGCAGCAGGGCTTCAATGTTTGGTGTGGCCACCGTCTGCTTCAATTAGGGCTTCAACACGACGTGGCATTGACTCCACGTATGGGGAAACCGTGTCAGGAGCCAACGAGTCCCACTCCAGGTGCAGTGCCTGCACCAGCTGGTCAGCATTCTCGCAGCGATGTGGAATTATTCTCTTCTTGAGAAGAGCCCACACATTCTCGATTGGGTTCATGTCCGGCGAGCAGGGAGGTTGAAACAGGATCTTCGGTACTCCGCTATCGAGAAGATCCTGTGCTTGAGCTGACGTGTGGGAGGTAGCATTGTCGAGCTGCAAGGACCAGTCGTTTGCGAAGAATCCGATGCCACTCGGTACAATGTCGGCTGCCATTCCTTGGGCGAACGTTGCTGCATTCCACGTCGGAGCAAAGGACAAATGCCCAACGGTTCCGAAAAGCGAAATGACTCCGAGAACGTGCACCTTTGCTGGATAGTGTGGCACCTCGACTATTGGCTTGTCGTCCCGTGGGTACCAGGACATAACACGTCCATCAGGACCCAAGGCAAACCATGCCTCGTCTGCAAAGACAACGCGGTCAAATTCAAACTGGCGATGCTGAATTCTCCATACTAGCCGGCTGTTCTTTGCTGCTTCTTTCAGAACAAACTTACGCACCGGCCGCCCGAACCTGTAGTTATTCCGTCTGAGGCTTCTGCGTACCGTGCTTGGGGCTGCCATTCCCCCACCAGGTTGCTCCGTGTCCAGAACCTCAGAAATATTCTCACTGCTCGCGAAACGATTGGCAGCGATGTGATCAGCAACAAACTCCATGCCCACAGGTGAGAGTATCGGCATTGTTCCGCTGCCTGCCTGTCTTGCTACGCTTCTCCCAATTTCAACTCGATTGCATGTGTCCCTTACCTGAACATGGACAATAGAATCGAAGATTGTTTTTTGTGACTTGTTCTCGATTTTATCACATTATTGGTGATCTGTTTCACTTACCTGAGTCTTCTTGTAACCAGTTATGTCCATAATTTGTCTCGGAGTATGACCTGCTCTGTAGAGGGTCGTTATTTTTTCTCGTCTACTCAATTCATTTCCTCCAAAGAACTCATTATTCTCCATTTTTGAATAGGGCTTGCGAAGAAAACTGTAGAGAATGGTTTCACCTCATTTTGGAAATGGGATTGCGGAGCATGTTTGTGTGACCTTTGTTTGCTGTTCTGTCTGCACTGTGGACTCTGTACGAGATTTTGGTAATGGCCATGTCCTTCTTCTCTATCTCTTCTTGATCTTGAGCTGTACTTCGTGAAGTGAAATAAATAAATTTTGAACTGTTTTTAGCATGCAACACGTGCACTCCGAACTTTTACACGAGGTGCGTACAGTTGAGTTCATACACACAAATCGTCAGTGATGTAATGGGAGCTGGCTTCGCGGCGCTGGCTTTGCACTTCGGGCAGGACTCGATCGAGGGATCCTGGCTTGTAGCCAGCGATGCTCTAACCACTGAGCTATGGTGTAGTCGTCATCCCAGCAGAGAAAGTTCAACATTTTCTTCAGACTTCGTACCTCGCACTTCGTGTGAATCCATACAGGCGAGTGGGACGCATCCCTCACTGACCCACACACTTCACGTACAAACTAGCATGCTGGGAGCCCCAAGTCATAAAATATTCACTGGTTAGAGGGAAAGATGCAAACGGGGAAAGTCTGAAGAAACATTGACTGTCTCCACCAGGACTCGAACCAGGGACGATTGCTTGTAGCCAGCGATGCTCTAACCACTGAGCTATGCCGTAGTCGTCATCCCAGAAGAGACCGTTCAACATTTTCTTCAGACTTTGTAACTCACACTTCCTGTGAATCCACATAGGCAATGCTACAGCAGAAGCCATAGCAACTTGTGCTGGGATTGCACCTTTCAACAGCTTGCAAGGCTGAAAAATTCACCACCACTATTCAGCCTGGTGTACACCACACAGCTATGAAGTTGCTTTTTCATTTTTTCCCCACACACCCATCACATCACACACTCCGGCATTCACTACCTGTTGGTAACCAATCAGGAGAATGAAAGAGAAGTCAGGAGGCCTGAGAAAGAGGAGAAAGACGTGTGTGACGATAACTGTTGGGAATCGAACCCCCAGCCTATCGGTTGGAAATCGCTGCAAATACCACCGCACATACTAGTATGGAACACACCACCACCATCATTACCACCAACACCAACGCCTCCGACGCCGACGCCGCCGCAACCGCAACCGCAACCGCAACCACCACCACCACCACCACCACCACCACTACCACCACCACCACCACCACCACCACCACCACCACCACCACCACCGACCCTGGCACTGTCATATGGCAGAGAAAAGTAGAAATTGAACTCACGCAGGCAACCATGACCACCTTTCACGTTTCGACAGTAGGAACCTGGCTGGCAAGTTGTTGCCGAGTCTTTGCAATCATTCCGATCTAACAGGGACAAGCAGAAGACCATTACAATCAACACATTATCCATTGCACCTAGGCTCTGCTCTACGAGAAAGACCGCTGGTACAGGTGAAGTGATTCACAGCCGTGGCACGTAATGCCAACTACAAAACATTGAGATCCGACTGGGCTTCAGACATAGTACAGTATAAGAGAGAGGTGGGACTGTGTTGTAACACGGCTTGCCCCACCCCCCTCTCCCTCTCTTTCTCTCTCCTTCTTTTTCTCTTTCTCTCTCTTTCTCTTTCTCTCTCTCTCTCTCTCTTTCTCTCTCTCTCTCTCCCTCTTGTATGGAATGATCTGCACTATACGTGTATTCAGCACTCTTCGGACAGTGGAGCACGCTTTTTCGGATAAGGGATCGCCCGGATACTTGACGTTTGGATAATCGGCATTCTTCTGTATTTGACGCAGCAGAAACCCACAAACCCTTGCAAATCACAGACAAACGGAACTCTCCAGCATATTGAAAAGAGGTGAGAATCAGGAAAATGACTACTGCCAATCCTGGGTTATTTCCGTGGGCTAAGATATGTAGGTCGAAGGGAAAAGCGCCAGCTGTCCATGAAACAATCGCTGAAGCGCTCCAATGTGCGGTTCCAGAGGTACGAAGCTCAAAAGTGTACAACTTCACTTCTAGTGTCTTTAAGTCCAGTGAGTCGTAGTACATAGTGATTTGAATGGCAATCCATCAGACAATGAAACATTGTAAAGATTATGTTGCTGATCGACCCAACCATCCAGATTTCATGTCTTCCATTTCTCTTACCATGTGCCATGCACCATGTAAAGGCCCATCACAGGAGAAGCACGGAAAACTGCAAATGGACTGGATGTGCACTCACTGTTTTTCTCTCATTGCAACGATAGTGGACAAGGTCTGAATGAGACAGATCAAAACTAGCGCCAGATTACTGTGCAATCCACACAACCTGCGAAGCCGTGTGAATTGACCACCAATAAACACCTGGTCTACACCACACGGAGTACATCCGGATAAAACGGCCAAGACAGTTACCTATGCACACCGTACACTTGCTGGGGTAACCAGTATACACAGCACATTGCTTTGATAGAAGCAGACACTAGATGCACTGGTAACTTGAAGTGAAATAATCATCTCTTACATATTGGATGGCAGGTTGGAAGGTTGGCCCAGACTAGTTCACCATCCTGTTGACGTGCTACGGCTGTATGGTTTAAAGGACCTCCAGCACATATTGTATTGCCGGTACATTGCTCATAATAGCCTTCAGCACAGCGGAATGTGGACGTTGTGGGATCGATGACAGCCGTACTGCTGTTATAGCCGCTTGGCAAAGTTGGTGTACCCGCTAGAACAGTACAAGATTGTCAAAAGGTAGAAAATAGCACACGATTTCTTAGTTCAATGATATTGTACCGTCTACGCTTGGCATATAAATACACCCAGCATGGTCTAAAACGTGGGGAGAAGAAAAGTACGCTCTGTGCAACAACAACAACAACAACAACAACAACAACAACAACAACAACAACAACAACAACAACAACAACAACAACAACAACAACAACAACAACAACAACAACAACAACAACAACAACAACAACAACAACAACAACAACAACAAGGATGTTCACCACTAATCGGTCTCCAATTCCGAGGGACAAATTGTTACTGAATGTGAAGTTTTGATTTTACCATCTGGGTCCATTCGACAAATCGAACAACAAGAAGTGGCTGGGGAGTTTCAGCGGTCATTTTCATTTCTGTGTGGGGTTGGTTGTGGATGGAACTGCATTCCAGGACCCAATGGGGATTGGAAGTATCGACACAAGTCTGATGTAATTTAGACTAGTACTCGTACCTTCACATTGAGCAAGGTTGATCAATTCCTTGTTCTCGCACACTGGTGGTGCTGGCTCCGCAGAGATCCTGGGACATGGACCGTTAGGACAGGTCCAGTGGAATCCAGCTTTACAGGAGATAAATCCGGACTCTGCGTCCACGTCTTCCCGCCCAGTACCTATACCGTGTCCGCATTCTGAACGTCAAATTAAAAGGCAAAACATGAATCCATTTTAAACCCATCACATCTTGGAATATGTCCGCAACCACCGCTGCCGCGGCCACCACCACCACCACCATCACCGCCACCACCACCACCACTACCACCACCATCACCGACACTGTCAGACTGTCATATGTCAGAGAAAAGTAGAAATTGAACTCACGCAGGCAATTGTGACCGCCTTTCACGTTTTGACAGTAGGAACCTGGCCGGCAGGTTGTTGCAGGGTCTTTGCAGTCATTCGGATCTAACAGGGACAAGCAGGGGATCATGACAATCAACACATTATCCATTGCACCTAGACTCTGCTCTACGACATAGACCCCCGCCATAGGTGAAGAGAGAGGGGGGGCTGAGTCGTGGTACATAGTGATTTGGCATGCCATCAGACAATGAAACATCGTAAAGATTATGTTTCTGATCGACCCAACCATCCAGATTTCATGTGCTTCATTTGAATCATTCCGCTTACTATGTACCACGCACCATGTAAAGGCCCATCACAGGAGAAGCACGAAAAACTGCAAATGGACTGGATGTGCACTCACTGTTTTTCTCTCATAGCAACGATAGTGGACAAGGTCTGAATGAGACAGATCAAAACTAGCGCCAGATTACTGTGCAATCCACACAACCTGCGAAGCCATGTGAATCGACCACCAATAAACACCTGGTCTACACCACACGAAGTACATCCACATAAAACGGCCAAGACAGTTACCTGTGCACACCATACACTTGCTGGGGTAACCAGTATACACAGCACATTGCTTTGATAGAAGCAGACACTAGATGCACTGGTAACTTGAAGTGAAATAATCATCTCTTACATATTGGATGGCAGGTTGGAAGGTTGGCCCAGATTAGTTCACCATCCTGTTGACGAGGTACGGCTGGATGGTTTAAAGGACCTCCAGCACATATTGCATTGCCGGTACATTGCGCATAATAGCCTTCAGCACAGCGGAATGTGGACGTTGTGGGATCGATGACAGCCGTACTGCTGTTATAGCCGCTTGGCAAAGTTGGTGTACCCGCTAGAACAGTACAAGATTGTCAAAAGGTAGAAAATAGCACACGATTTCTTAGTTCTATGATATGTACAATCTACGCTTGGCATGTAAATACACACAGCATGGTCTAAAACGTGGGGAGAAGAAAAGTACACTCTGTGCAACAACAACAACAACAACAACAACAACAACAACAACAACAACAACAACAACAACAACAACAACAACAACAACAACAACAACAACAACAACAACAACAACAACAACAACAACAACCCTCAGGAATAGTCCGCTTACCGTAGCACAAAAACACAAACACCTCGGAATAATCTTTCAGCATGACCTCCGTTGGACGGAGCATGTTGAATACATAGTCAAAAAATCACTCAAGTCTTTCAATATTCTTTTTAGACTAAGGTCTACACTCACCAGTGATTCTTTATCTCACATCTATCAGACATACATACTACCTATATTCTCATATGCGAGCAATGCTCTCACACCGTTGTCCCACACTTCCCTTGACAGGCTAGAACGACTCCAGCGGTAAGCCGCCAGAATATGTCTCCACCTTCCCCTTTACACACACTTAGAACACTCCCACCTTTTGCATGGCACCAAATGGCCAACATTATGTTCACGCTTTAAAGTTAAACATAATTATACTCTTCGCGCATTCTCTGTGCCACAATTATGCCTCACCACATAATACTCTCGCTGCATACTGCTAGCAACGTGCAACTTTCGTATAATTTACGTCGCTCTCGTACTTGGCACTTGTCAACTCTGCGGACTGACCACTGTCTCCATTCTGCCCTGTACAAGGCCCTTCATTACTTTAATTGCTTGCCCACCCAGCTTCGCAAAATCCCTTCTCGTACTCCCTTCAAATCCCAGATATCCCCGCTGTTGCACAACTCTGTATGCTCGTGTAGCGACCACCCCTGCCCGTACACTTAAGTACACAACTCTGTATGCTCGTGTAGCGACCACCCCTGCCCGTACACTTAAGTAGTCATGAACCCCTAGGCCCTAGGCCCTGCCCACCCAATTCTTCCTCGCTCTTTCTCCTTTCTTACACTATTATCTCTTATTGGCCACTGGCTATCGTGAGAGTAAAGATTTGAAACAACAACAAGGACTTTCACCATTAATCGGTCTCCAATTCCGAGGTACATATTGTTACTGAATGTGAAGTTTTGATTTTACCATCTGGGTCCATTCGACAAATCGAACAACAAGAAGTTGCTGGGGAATTTCAACGGTCATTTTCATTTCTCTACGGGGCTGGTAGTGGGTATAACTGCATTCCAGGACCCAATGGGGATTGGAAGTATCGACTCGAGTCTGATGTAATTTTAGACTAGTGCTTGTACCTTCACATTGGGCAAGGTTGATCAATTCCTTGTTTTCGCACACTGGCTGTGTTGGCTCTGCAGAGATCCTGGGACATGGACCGTTAGGACAGGTCCAGTGGAATGCAGCTTGACAGGTGACAATGCCCGACTGCGCGTCCACTTCACTTCGCCCATTACCATTACCGTGTCCGCATGCTGAACGTCAAAGTACAAGGCAAAACAAGATTGTATTTTAAATCCATCACAACTTGGAACATGTCAGGTGGCCACTAAAATAACAGTTTTGAGGACTGAAATGTACTCATATGACCTTAAAGACAAACACGACAAACTAGCAGTAAAAACATGCCTGTCCACACAAGTTCTCTAGGCAGCAAAGTTTCACTCTGGCACAGAGATCTCCTTCTCACCACCTACACCACCCCAGCATTCGCCGCCACTACCACCGTACACCACCACCGCATGCCACCACCGTCAACGCCACCGCCCCTGCCGCCATCACCACCACTGTCATAATTATGGCAGAGAAAAGCAGAAATTAAACTCACGCTGGCACTTATAACCGCCTTTCATGTTTCGACAGTAGGTACCTGGTCGGCAGGTTGTTGCCGAATCTTCGCATTCATTCCGATCTAGCAGGGACAAGCAGACGGTCAATACAATCAAAACAATATCAATTGCACCCAGGCTCTGCTTTGTGACCAAGCCACCTGCCACAAGTGAAGTGATTCATACCCGTGTAATTTGGTGCGAAATCCAAAACAAAAACGTTGAGATGAGATTGGGCTTGTGACAAAGTACAATACTAGAGAGTGGTTGGGAGCTGTGTTGCAACAAAGCTCCCCTCTCTCCCTTTCTCCCTCTCTGTCTCTCTCTGTCTGTCTCTGTCTGTCGCACTGTCTCTCTGTGTCTCTCTGTGTCTCTCTGTGTCCCTGTGTCTCTGTGTATCTCTGTCTCTCTGTTTCTCTGTCTCTCTGTCTCTCTGTCGCTCTATTTCTCTCTCTCTCTCTCTCTCTCTCTCTCTCTCTCTCGCTCTCTCTCTCTCTATCTATCTGTCTATCTCTGCCTGGCTGTCTGTCTGTCTCTCACTTCTCTGTCTGTCTGTCTTTCTGTCTGTCTGTCTGTCTCCCTGTCTCTCTGTCTCTCTGTCTCTCTGTCTCTCTGTCGCTGTTTTTCTCTGTCTCTCTGTCTCTCTGTCTTTCTGTCTCTCTGTCTCTCTGTCTCTCTGTCTCTCTGTCTCTCTGTCTCTCTGTCTCTCTATCTCTCTGTCTCTCTGTCTCCTCACACAAGGTTTTGTACGTGAACTGCACTTTATATGTTTACCATTTCTGAAGAAATGGTCAGGCCTACCTCGATGCGCAAACTCTGCCATTCTTTTTATTGGCAGTCGCAAACGCTTTGGCTTACGCCTCCACTACCTTCCTACGGTGTGGAAAAAGTGCCAGTCCATCAAATGGCACATACTTCGATCGAGTGGGGACGCGCGCATGAGGGCGCTGTACACTCTGCGTCGGAGTAAGGATGCGAAGCTGACAAAGCGATATGCGGCGACAATAGAGCTGGAGTGTGCACAGGCATCAGTAGGTTCAGGGACTCTCCGTCCACCGTCATCTTCAAGTCATCGTGCAGGGTTGGGTGCTCGTGCTCCGAAGCAGCATTCCAAACCCCCGAGGAAGGATCTCCTTCAAACATTTGAGGAGATCAACACGCAGGAGCAGATTTTGAGGCTGAAGACTCTTCAGGTGCAAGGCAAGTGGTTGGAGTGGACATCGGTGATGTGGCAGGACCTCTCGTGGAAATCCCTTTTGTACGGTGGTACTGGTAAGGATTTGAAATTTCTTCTCACATCAACCCTCGACGTGCTACCTTCTCCGACGAACCTACGCCGTTGGGGAAACACCGTAGTGGATCCGTACTGTAGTTTGTGCCGTGCCTGGGCCTGTACTACGCGCCACGTGCTTGGCGCTTGTCGCGTAGCGCTGGACCAGGGACGTTACACCTGGAGGCACGACAACGTACTCGGGGTCATCGTCAGGAACATGCGTGAGGAGATTCGAATCTGCACTGCTGCAAACACCGTACAAACCGAAAATTCAAATGAGCTTGACTTCATCTCGTTTTGCAAGGCGGGAGAGAAGCCAGTTCGCGTTCAGCCCAGATGAAAGTTGGTTACGACTGATCTCCTGTCAGCGGCCTCAGACTGGAAACTTCTTGTCGACTCAGTTAGTGCAAAGATTTCTTTCCCTAGCTGTGTTGCACTTACCACCCTAAGACCAGATATAGTTCTGTACTCTACGAGTCGTAGGATTGTATTCTGGATGGAGTTGACAGTTTGTGCTGAGGACAGATTCAGTGTCAGTAACTCGCGGAAGGACAGGCGGTATGCGGATCTGGCCGATCAATGCCGAGCAAACGGGTGGCAGGTCGTTTCTTTTTCGGTTGAGGTAGGTGTGCGTGGTTTCATCCCGGACTCTCTTCGGAGGGCTCTGAAAGCGCTTGGGTTTTCTAATCGAAGAATAAAATTTATTTGTAATTTGTGCAGTAAGACGTCTCTGCGAAGTAGCTACATCATCTGGTTGCGACGTCAACAAAAACACTGGTCGGAAGATCCACTTTTCTGAGGTACTGTATGTGGGGCTCCGTTTATTGAGGTGCGTTGAAATTTATTCTCTTTATCTTATTATTTCTTTTCTATAATTTCCCCATATGAGTTCCTATCAGTTGCTGTGAACACCTTGAGTGGAGAGCGCTTGCTCGAGCGTTGAACCGGGTTCTTAATCCACCATACCCAGTTCGCAAGGCTGGGCGGGGTTGTGAGCAGGCTTTCATTTCATCTTTTCTTATTATTTCTTATTATTTCTGCTTTTCATCTCATTACAAAAATTCTGCGCTTTTTCTCCATCTGCGCATAAAATCTAGACTGACAACCTGCTTGTTAAATCATGCACCTGCTTTCAGTCGTAAAAACCCTGTTGTAGAGGTCTCAGTCCTCATTTGTTAGACTTACCTGTCTTTATAAATGTAACTTACTCTCTCTCTCTCTCTCTCTCTCTCTCTCTCTCTCTCTCTCTCTGTCTCTGTCTCTCTCTGTCTCTCTGTCTCTCTCTCTCTCTCTCTCTCTCTCTCTCTCTCTCTCTCTCCTTCTATCTATCTATCTATCTATCTATCTATCTATCTATCTATCTGTCTATCTATCTATCTATTTATCTATGTAGCAGTACAAATTTTCGTTTGGAAATAATTAATGGTCAGTCAAAAGTGCTTTACAACAGGGCAGTTGAGCGAAAGCAGCTCAAGAAGGCAACATGAAGGAGAACGACTATCCATTTCCCCCATACAAACATGCAAATATAGAGGATTCACGCCGTAATGCTGTTGTCAGACGGTCCCAGGCTGATATCATGCTTTCTAGGTTCTCTCCAATACGGTGACGAGCATCTTTTCCTGATTTGAAAATTTGAGAATAGGCAGTAGTGAGTGGAGTCTGTACACATGTTTAAAAACAGAACATTATCTCATACCTTTCGCGCATATGAATGGCTGCTTGGCAGTTTCGGATTGGTGAGACGTTGTATTTGCGACACCGGTTTCAAGATGAAGTGTGCTGGCCGACTCATTCATTCTACGAGGATTGACTAACCAAATGTCGGAGATGTCGCTGTGGAGAAGGAAATCTGTAATAGCCTGTATGGTCACGCGAGGAGAAAGATGGGAATATGGAAGAATATGAAAAGCATTTAAATAACCGACGAGGAGACAACAGTCGTAAAATAGCAATGAAAAATATCAATTGTGCACTCATAACCATGTATAAACAATTAAAATGAAACAATTCCAGAACGTTTTCGTGTGACCATCATCAGTGGAACATCGTCACATAGTAAGAATCACTAAAACAACCAGTTATATAGCTAGAGTAATATGAAAAAGAAGCGTGAGAATGCAGCACAGCTAGCGGTTATGCATAACGCGTGTAGTGTGAACCTTTGCAGTGTATCTGAGAATGGTAGCAGTAGATGAATGTGGCGGCTGTGAGTGCGTGTGAACAAAAACTGGTGAGTGCGTATTATTTAAAAAGTGTGAGTGCTACAACATTTTCTTTTTGCTTGCATAGAACAGGGTCACGTGTGCGAATATATACAGCTTCCAACACCTGCAACTGCTTAAAGAAAAGCGCGTGACAAATAACACTAAACCAGGAATCGTCAAACAAATTCTTTAAGTTTCCAGTCGTGTTTTGAGCCCATTTCGAGGTGGTCCCCAGGTCCAAGGTGTCCGGAAGTTGTGTACTGGGTCCTTTTGCATGGTTGTTGTAGAACCGAATGGAAACTAACTTGGAAAATTTGAGCGAAATTGGAGGGATGGCCCAGCCTAGCTTTTATGGTTCTCACAGACATGCTCTCTTAAAAGGGTTACTCACCATGAAACATGGGTAATGCTTGCGAAGCTTGTGAGCTTTTTGTCGCAAAATCTTCATCCCAATGGAGTTGCACTGCGAAACGGCAGACGAAAATGTGGCTGGCTGCGTATAGAGTCTCATGTTATATCCACCACAGAGAATACTATCAGCTGTGAATCACAAAAAAAAGACGAAAATTAATAGCATCAACAATTTGCTCAGAGACAGCAATGCGATTTTACTGAGAAGAAGGACACACTTCAGGCTCCTGAACAATATCAAGAAAGTTGTTACCAGTATACTTTCACGGCGAAAGGAGGGACGTGACAGCAGGGTGACGGCCGAGTTGAGTTCAATGGACCCGGTCAGGCGGGATGTACGAGACAGAGAGAGTGCAGAGGAAGCGGAGGATGGAACGGACGGCGAAGGGAGCAGTGAGTCGGAGAGCAATGATGGGAGTGATGGTGAGAGTGACGGTGAGAGTGTTAGTGTTGTGCGTAAGTTTCGTGGTAGCAAGTCTTCAGTGTACAATCATCTGGTAGCTAGTCCTGATTGTTGCAATTCGTATTCCGACTCTTCGTTCACTGTATTGTACCGTGGTCGTCATGGTTATGGACTACAGTTAAAAGTGTTGGAAGCTATCTATTAGCGTCTGTATAAGCCTAATTTGTGCGTACAGAAAGATAGTATAATTGGGTTGAAATTGTTCAAGTAACGTGTCGTGTTTGGTGCGGCCAAGCTTGGACGTTAATGTTCTAGGTGTAATGTACTGATGTTATGTGTTAGCACTTTGTACTTCCTTTTTTCTTTCTCTTGTTTGTTCATTTTTCCATTCGCAAGTTTATTGCTAGCACACGCATTCGTTATTGCTCCCGCTTTGATTGTTAAAATTCACACCTGTAAATTTCACTGCTGTTGTTCTTAGTGTTATTTCTCTAACTTAGATTTTCTATAATAGTTCAATTTTGTTTCAGTGTCCTTTAGTCCAACGACGATTCCTGATGAGTGTTGTACGAAAACTTGTTTGAATCCATATTTTTTCTCTACACCATTTCTTCATATTTTCATCGTTTTATTGCACATCGTCTCCACCGTTATTTTACATTGCATGAATAAAGTAAACAAATGTTGGTTCCGCTAATTTTATTGATTGCGGTTAATAAAATTATTAATATTGTGAACATCAATGTGGAGAAGTCTGACGACTATTCGCACATTGACCGAAAGATAATACATGTATGTGAATTGTCACACCACGTTCGAAACAACTGAAATTCAGAACTACGCCCAGCGCAAAAGCACTTGCTATCTTTAGTTGAGAAAAATGTCAAAAGCGTTGTCGATCACAATCCTAGCCATTTCGAAACAGAGAGAGAGTCCCACAGAGATGCCAAACAGACACATAGACCAAAACCTCTTCCCCAGAACACACACAGCGCCAACTCCGAACAACAGACACCCACACACACCTATATTTAGGTTGCGTTTGTTCGGTGCCATTCCGCCACCATTCCAAAGTCATTCCGCCGTGTTTTGATTCCGGAGCGTTTGTTTGATGCACTGGACAGCGTTTGTTCGGTGCAATTCCGATTCCGGTCGCAGAATGAAGGGGGCAGAATCGATTCTGGCGATTCCTAAGAAAAAAGTGGAATGAGGTCTCATTCCGAGCGGAATGAAAATGTGCGGAGGGGCTTCGTGAAGTTCGTCATTGCTGCATACCTCCACAACAAAACTTCAAATGCGATTATCGATATACAGAAATGTTGGCAGACATCGTCCATGGGCATCGGCATTGTAACTTGTTCGTGGTATTTTGACCCTTCGCTGCCTGAGAAAGTGTTCATCCGGGATCATTGATGAACTGGAAATAATTATGCCATCACACATCCGCTCTTCATCGTCGTCGAGCAGGGCCTCTAGAATCACAAGGAGACGAGCCAGAACAAAGTGACCCAAAGAGGCACCAATCACAAGGAGGCGAGCCAGAACAAAGTGACCCAAAGAGGCACCGAGCCTGTCACTTCACTTCTTCTTTCAACAGTGCCTCGTCTCTGTCAAATAAACACGAGAGCTAGCGACGTTTCTGTGACTGATACGAGGTCGACCGGTCGTATAGCATGATGAAGTAGTGGCCAAACGCCGCCTGCAGGCACCTTTGGTTAGTTACGATCGCTCGTTGATCTACGCCGTGTTTGGCCGCTCCTTCATCATGACTGTCGTAGGAACATGCAGAAACTTACGGAAGCATAATACTACCAGGACTGGCATGTAGTAGTCTTCGCAAGGCTGCATTATTTGTGCAAACAACAGGACCCAGTGGTGCAAAACTTTTGCCAGATTCTCGAACCCATGCCAGCGCGTTTGTTTGCTACGCTCATTCCGATTCCGCGATGGGTACCGACGTCACTCCATGCCCATTCGGGAATGACCGAACAAATGCAACCTTAGTCTAATAGAGTGGATATGGCCAGCGACATCCAAAAAAACATAAAACATGACATGGTGTGCAATGACAGCAGCGGTTGGAAAAATCAGTACCGGTAGTAGAAAGCCAGGCGCCTGATGATGGCATTGTCCAAGAAACTCTGAGCTACGCCACACTGTATAACACTCCTCTTTTGTTACTTTTTGTGTCCGTATTTACCACGACTCACTGGCCTTTAAACGCTAGAAGTGCAGTTGTAAACCCTACTCAAGCCAGCTGAGTTAACATGTGGTTGACACAACCATGGCGGATGAGCGAGAGCAGTACCAAAAGGCAACATGAAGGAGAACGACTACCCACCACCTCCCATACAAACATGCAAATATAGAGGATTCAGGCCGTAATGCTGTTTCAAGACGGTTCCAGGCTACGGTAACGAGAATCTTTTCCTTATTTGAAGAATTTATGAACCGGAAGTAGTGAGGGGAGTCTCCACACATCTTTAAAAACAGAACAATATAGCATACCTTTAGTCGCGCATATGAATGGCTGCGTGGCATTTTCGGATTGGTGAGACGTGGCTGCGAGACTGGTATTGAGGTGAAGTGTGCCGGCCGACTCATTCATTCTACGAGGATTCAATAACCAAATGTCGGAGATGTCGCTGTCGAGAAGGATTTCTTTGATATTCTGTATGGTCACATGACGAGAAATATAGAAATATATAATATACCCTGAGCTGGAGTGTATATGGAAAATATACACCAAATACAAACTGAGGCCGTATATTTTCCATTTATACCTTGCGCCATATACACCCACACTCCTAGGCCAGATCTCCCTTAGTGGTGTATTATCTCCATATACATCGCTAAGGGAAATTAGCAGTAGTTGTCGGCGAAGAACAAGCCATTAGGAGGCCACACACGGTGAATATGGAGAGGTATAATAAATATAATTATTATAACAAAGGGACCCTGTGTAAATCGAGATATATACACCAGTTATAAAAACCTCGGCTTCGCCTTGGTTCATATACTGGTGTATATATCTCCACATACACTCGGTCCCTTCTTTTAATCTATACATACCCTCCAGCGAAGGGTATATCCGACTTATATCTACCTCAGTCTGAATCCTAAAAAGCAGTATATACTGTATTAACAGTATTCAATTCTCTACAGTGGTGGATATTACCAGCAATTATTGTTTCTAGAAAATACAGTGAATATACACTGGCCGAGGCTGTGTGTGATGAATGGGGTGTGTATTAATTAAGTAGGTGTAAGGTATCATACAGAAAGAGTATGAGAGGTGTTTTATAACAGAACTTTGCAGGGATCATAGTAGCTGGCCTGTCGATCATAACTATATTGAAGGTAGTGGCGTTGCATTTGCGAAAGTCAATTTTTGATCGCCGTGAACTTGGACATTGTGCGCAGCGCATGCTCATTCATGCGCGAAAGAGGTCAAGAGCAAAGAGTGTACTTCACGCCCCAGTACATGCAGCTTGCTTGTCACATACACTCAGAAACACAGGGTACATGCAGGGCAAGATAACTCCAGCTGCCTTGTTCCAAGGCACCCTACACAACCAATATGTGTGGTAAGAGGGCACGAACAACAGAGATACATGCAGGTGGAACACTCACATAATACTCATGCGTACAGTCAAACACCCACACCCAAACACAAACAAACACACATACCCAGACAGCCACACAAACACACTCGAACGCCGCAAACGCACACAAATACACACACACATCAACATGTACACTGCGCATTGTGAGAGCATGCATAGTATTCGTTGCTCTAACTTCTGTCTTACATTCCTTGTTGCACCCGCCGGCTACCATGGCTCATTGATGGTCTCCCGACATGTAATACATTCCCTTTGACTTTGTGTCACCGCCAGATCCTTTTACTTCTGGTGTCCGTTTCATGTTCAGCTATTGCTCGCTTCCACGCTGGCATGCAACTGGCGTGCTCTCATGCGTACAGTGCGTACAACGAAGAACTACATCAGTTCCAGTTAGTTTTTAGAGTTGGCCGTGGAACAAACTTGTGTTTTTCGCTCTCCCACATTCTCTGCTTCTTCTCCAATAATTATATGAACACTGTTCGCCAAAGAACTCGTTGTGGACGTTGTTGTGAGTGCGTGTCCGGGAGTGAGTTGGGGCGGTCGTGATTATCTAACAGCTTGGTGCCGAAACCCGGTTTGGTGGAGTAGCAACATGCAGTTTTCGCATGCAGTCCAGCGCGAATCAGATGTGGCATGCAGAATATTTACCAAACGCAGACCTTTTTTTAGGAAATTGATATATTCACCCAGGGGGAATGGCTGAAATTTCCTTGCAAGGAAATGGTGATCACAGGCGACTTGCTAAACAGAATGGGATCCTGTTTGGTATTTTGGCTGCCCATTTTCTGGAATCGATTTGTAACATTCGTTGAAAGGTGCGAAGCCGTTTTCGTTCCAAACGACAGGGTTTGTTCAGGGCTGAAAATGGCGACCATGCCGATCATTACCACGATCTCCGAGGTGAAAATCCCTGGATTTGACGGGGAAAGCTCTGGATTTGATGGTAAACCCGACAGAAATACTTTGTGCTATTTGTTGAGAGGTGGCAAGGCATTTGACAGAAGCGTTCGTGTTCCACGTGGCGCGAAAGGCGACCATGTTTGTTCTTGGGAATTTCTGCATTTCTGACGTATCGGCGTGCATATGGCCGTTGTTCCAGCTATATCAATAATAATTGTCAGCAGTGGATAGGATTTTGTTTGAGTAGTCGAGTGGAGACGTGGATTGGTTGCGACAGGAAATAGGAGTGGCTCCCGAGGATGGCGAAAGCCAAATCTACCCAAAGCCGACTTCACTATCGCCGATCTTCTGGCGGCGCATTTTCACTTAGTTGCTTCAACAAACGGCACAAGCTGTGGACATCGTTAGATGGTACTAGCCTATCAGTGTACCCAGATTCTCTACCGAAGCATTAGCTTGAGTCACATTTCTCTCTAGCTCTCTTTTGGTCTCTCGCATTCTCTCTAAAAGTGTTCAAACTTAAAAATCCGCGTTGAGCTGCGTCGGAGAGTCGTAAAATACTAGTCGTATTCACCGGGCTGCATTTTCGCCGGTTTTTGGCGATCGCCATTTTTTTCTAGTCTGCCATCGACTCGTTCAAAAATCGATTACATCATTGACTGCGCAAAGCCCTACGTAGTGTCTGCGCTGATATCCCTAACTCTAGCCCTTTATTGGCCGAATAAAATACACAAGCCCACGCAATCTCGCCAAACCTGTACCTAAATTGGACACAACTTTGGTTTGCACTGGACAAATTCCACAATCTTGGGCATCCTGGAAAGGCCTTGGCAAGAGGATCGCAGTGGGCCTGCACTCGACTCCAGGGAATGCACTGGCCCAGCGCTGCAACAGGAAAGGTCCACCACCGCTGGGCTCACGCTCGAGGTCTACCTCTATCCACTATTTCACTCCTGTTGCTCGTATCAAACTCAAAACTTTCCCAGAAGCTCACGGGAATTTGCTTTTGAAGTTGAATCGGTGTAGCCTTGTCAACAGATTACAAAAACAGGGAAAATCCCGACCGTTGATCCACGTGTCGCACACTTAGCCCAAATCCCGGGATCAACATTACGAATACTATAGTTCAAGAAACGCTCATTCTATCGCTTTAATAACCCTTTCAGTGCCAATGACGAGATAACTCGTCCTACAGACCCCCACGCGATTGGCCAAGGACGAGATATCTCGTCCTCGTAGTGCGCACTACCATAATCTCACCGGCCATGCATTACAATCTAGCTTGGCCGATTGTGGCTCTTCGAGGGGAAACTAGGGGTTTTCCCCTACTGAATAAGACCTCACTCGCCGTGTTTGAGTAAGTACGGGCGCGGGAGTATACTTTCAGAGCGCTCGGGCGAAAAACATATCTCGATTTAGAAACAATTAGATTGACGGAATGTACATTAGGTCTCTCTAGCTGTCACTCAGACACTGTGAGTCGCCGCATGTCGGCTGAAGAGGTGCTCCAGTCCATCATGGACTCAGACATTGATGACTGGAGCTGCGATAGTGAAGGCGATGACTGGGATGCGGACATAGCCGTCCGCGATCGTGACGGAACAAATTTCGCGGACAAGTCCGCCTTGGTCGATGTCGTGCCTACTGCCGTTGTCGCCTTGGACGGCCCTGAGGATATCGGAAATGTCGATGTGGAGTTTGAGCAGGGCGCAGCAGCACAAGCTACGTCAGCAAGTAGCGAGGTCAGACGCGTGACCAGTTCACGGACTTCGCTTGTCGCGCTTGGACCATCCCCGGCCCATTGAAAATCGATGATGTCATGGCACATAGGTTTTTACTCGATTTTTCGATTTTTACGGGAGGCATCAAAACTGACCTGCGTTTGAACTTCGCTTGTGCAGTCTCCTTGCTCTTTTTGGGCGATTTCAAGTTTCTAGTCCTTTGGTAAGGATATGGAGCAATGCCTCCACCCGTTCGCGCGGCGTCCAGACGTTTCTCTGTCGACGCGCTGTCTCTCGCTTTTTGCCAATATTCGAGGGCGGGTTTCGGTCCTTGCGCCTCTTGTTACGCCTTAGGTTGTTGCTGCATCGTGTTCAGCGCCCCCTAATCCTTCGGACTACCAAGTTTCATTGGCGTAACAAGAGGCGCACCGACGTTATGGCTCCCGACTGGTGTCACTGTCCAGCAAGGAGGATTGCTTTGGGAAGGCATGTGCACCAATCTAAAAAGCAACAGAAGCAAGCGAATCGCCATCAATCCGATTAAACTTCGCTTGCGTCTGGTGTGCAGCATTTTGTATCTATTCAGAAGCTTGTTGGTGATGAAGGTAAGGAGATGGCTACTTCAGTCCCAGTCCCAGGTACTGTTTCGGAAAGCTATGTCTTTCTTACAAAGTTTTGTCCAATTGTATGCATCATTTCAGAAATGGAAACTAATTCCAAATTTCCAATGCTGTCAGTGTTACTCAATCAAGGCAACACTACAAATAGTTGTCAGCCAAACATAACCTGTGTGAGAGAGAAAGTGAGGAACGTTCACTTTCACACAGACCATGTCTCTAACAAAGTCTCTCTACTGTACTACTCCAGAACAAACAATACGTTCGAGCACAATTGTGTTTTCAAATTCCTGATCGTCTGCAGAAACTTGTCTTGAGAAAGCGCTTCTTCCGACATCCTCCATCAACAGCAGCCACCGCTCCCGTTGCCACCAACTCGTCATTGGATCCCCAATATCTTACCATCACCGGTTCACAGCAAATAGTACATGCACTGGCGATCCTTGAAGACAATTGCACATTTCCCTTCTCTGCAGAGGAACAAACATTTTCTCTTCAGAAAGTTTTCGGCTCGAGTGCTGCACGCAGCGGTGCCGCTAGCCGCTAGCATAGCGAAGTACACGCACGTGACACGCGAGATTACATCATGCACTCTCCGTCGCGACTTGGGACCCGAGTGCCGGGTGCCATTTTTCGAGCTCCCACGCGTACATTCGTCGCGACAAAAAAATCACGTAGTCGGGCTCCTTTCAACACCCATAACTCTCTTCCAGTTGCTCTAACCCAGCCCAAATTTTAGATTTGAACGCCTGAAGCTCTAAGCTTTCCGTAGATACCCAATTCGATAGGGTTTTCCAAAATTTAATTTTCGCCTGACCTCGCTACAGCAAGGGACAAAAAGTGGGTTTGAGTTGGTACGACTAATTTGAAAAAAATCAGATTTTTATGAAATGGCCCGGCCAACAGCGTACATCTGGCCTGGCACTGAAAGGGTTGAAACAAATGTTCAAAGTTACAGCTGACAGTTTTATCTTCGACCTACATATCAATCTATCCAAAAGACCGCGATTTGACCAAAATACGATAATTTCAAAATGCCTTCCCCATCGAACATCGGTGCTAGATCAATGTATGGGTCAGCCAATTAAGGGCAAGTAATAGCCGCACTTCCAGAATCCTTGAAGAAAATACCTCGCTTTGGCGACAGATATTTACATAACATGTCTTATAGAAGGCTTACTCACCATGAAACACTGGTAATCCTTGCGGAGCTTGTGAGCTTTGTATCGCAAAATCTTCATCCCAATGGACGCGCACTCTGAATGGGCAGCCGAAAATGTGGCTGGTTGCTTATAGATTCTCATGTGATATCCACCACAGAAAATATTACCAGCTGTGCATTACAAAAAAGACGAATATTAATATCATCAGCAGTTTGTTCTGAGACAACAATTCGATTATACTGAGAAAAAGGACACACTTCAGGCTCTTGAACAGCATCTCGACAGTTTTGACCAGCACACTTTCATGCCTTTTAGTCAGATGAGATACAGACAGAATCAAATAAACAAGGACAATGGATTAAGAGTCAAGTGGAGTAGAGAGGTGATAGAAACAGTGCAAGGAAGAAGAGCTAAAACAACAGCGACCAATGCGTGACACACGTACATAGAAAGAAATGGAGGAAAGGCGCAAGTATGAGGAGACTTGAGGAGGAGTGAGGAGTGTGAGGTTTCTATCACCTCTTGTCGAAGTGTTTAGAAGTATTATAATGATTTGTGTTTCATTTTTTTTCTTCTTTTTTTCTTTCTTTTTTTACTATGTTCACATAACCGTGTTTCAATGTAATTTCACGGGCACGATATGCTTGACAATTACAGGTGCATGAAGCTGTGTGTATTCGTCTGTATAAGCCAGTTCTGTGTAGGCAAAAGCAGCATGTAGTAGCACTCAAGTTATGTTCGTAAGTTCACACATTTTTTATTTGTGTTAATGTTCATATGTCTCGTAACTATTATCTCACCTCGTTGTTTCCGCTCATATTTTTAGCACTTTTTTGGATAATTGTATCACTCCAATAATCATTAATTTTATTGCTCTGCTGTACATTTTTATTCATAAGTCACGAAAATCCACAGATGAGAGTGACAAAAAAACCGAAATTAATAATTTTGTTAAATCTCTTTTGAGACTTCTATGTTGTGTGGCACGACCGGGGAACTAATATTATTCAATTCTATCATTAAATCATTGTCTCCACATCGCTTAGCTGTATTCTTGTTCTACTTAATATTATTATGAACATCAATATGGAGAAGTCTGAGCACTCTTCGCACATTCACTTCAAGGCATAACATGTATATGAGTTGTCACATCAGGTTCAAAATAGCTGAAATTCAGGACTATGGCCAGCGCAAAAAGCACTTGCTATCTTTAGTTGTGAAAGCCAAGAGTGTTGTCTATCAAAATCCTAGCCATTTCGACACAGAGAGAGTCCGACAGAGATGCAAAAACTGACACGTAGACCCTAAGCCATTTCTCCCACACACACATCCCCAACGCCCAACAACAGACACACACACACACATCCACACACACCCAACAAATAATTAAATTCAGTCTAATAGAGTGGATATGGCAAGCGACATCCAAAAACAACATAAAACAGGACATGGTGCGCAATGACAGCAGCGGTAGGACAAATCAGTACCGGCAATAGAAAGCAAGACGCCTGATGATGGCATTGTCCAAGAAACTCTGAGTCACGCCATACTCCGGAATACTCCTCCTTTGAGACTTTTGTGTGCAGTAATAATTATTTGTACATGGACGCCCATTCAAGGGTACTTGTACACCAAAGCACTTACTGGGTGCGGGATCAACTTGTTCGTTACCATGAGACGTCGGCAATGCAGACAGAGTAGCTATACACACCACCAGAACCAGCCATGGCGCCATTGGCGATTGGGCCAGCATCATTGTAGCCTTTCAAAAGAAGAAATACAACAGTTTGTCAAATGTCTGTTAGTACCGGTACTCACACTCCAAACTGAGTTTCTGAGGCGTTAAGTAGGTTTTGAGGTAGTACCAAGTATGATATACCCTAAACCTCTAATGGGAGCCAAGAGCGCAACTATCGAATTGTTAGGTACCTCCTCCCGTACCTTTTCTAGCTGGCCTGCATGCACTCGCGTACTCACCTTTTGTCTCCTTTTGTTCCGTTGGCCTGGGTAGCTACTTGCGCGCCCATTATTGCCATAGCTACCCAGGCCCTTTATCTTGCCGTTCAGACTTGATATCTTTCTTTTTTTCTCACTCGTCAATAATCACCATGTAGTCGTTTCATTCGTCTTGGTCTCTTGTCCCGTCTCTAATAAATGTCGTTCCACCAACCTACCTGTTCCCGTTGTAATGTCTGGATAATGTGTCGTCAGTCGCCCTTTCTCGTATTCAACAGAATGAAGCCAGACCTGTCCACAACCAACTTACACTGAATTGTTCTCCACAATTCGCCAGTGACTGGTTCTGGTAAGATGAGTAAAGATAATAAGGCTCTCAAGGCATCAGAAAGTAAGGCTACAGCATGTTACTTTAAGTCTAATTGAATTGCGAGTGGAGCACATGCTTGACATAAACCCTTAAACAGGACCTACAACAATAATATTAAGCTGCTTCACGAGCGCAAGTAATGTTCACCAAGGGCCGCAGAGCAGCATCCATTCCGGCCAAACAGCTAAAAATGCAAGCAAACCTGCATGCCTGAGTACCTGGGTACATGAGTACAGTCATGCAGTAAATCGTCAATTGTGTTTCTGCTCCAAACAGCAACTCACTTTGACTAGTCCAGTGTCAAGTTCTGCAAGAAGCGTGTGTTCCTAGTTGGAACAATTAACTTCATAACTTTGACTAGTTTATAGTAAACAAGAAGGACCAAGGAAATACAAGTTACGCTATAATGTCCACTGATGCCATCAGTTTTTCTTTAATATAAATTTATCACTGGCTCACCACCCGAGTCTAACTTTGACTAGCTAGCTACAAAGATTGCATCAAAGGATCAAACAACAACCATTTCGATTGTGTAACTGCTGCTTGTTACCGCTGCTTATTGTCCATCTAAATTGTTATATTCAGAGTACAGTGCCGTTTTACTGAGGCGTTCGGTTTTGCATGATTCTTGTTCGCATTACTTCTACTTTTATTGATCTTCGCATCTTTAAGTCACACAAGTTGTGTGGAATGTTACTTTGCGTCCTTGTATCGTGGTTAGGCTTTCCCCAACTCGGCCGGCCGAAAAATTCGCCGAAAACGAGACTTATCGAAAAATTGCTAAGCCGTTCGCCGATTTCGGAGGGTTCCCTTGAGAATCACCTAAAATCTGCCAAAATTAATGTTGTTGCACAGTGCGTTTACGAACGAATGGTGTTGCTGCAAATATGACCACTCGAGCTCTCTACTTCAAATTCAATACGTGCTCGTACTAGTGCGTTGAGGTCATGTGACTCATGTCCTTTGAACTCCTCTCAAACAAACATTAGCCATGTGGAACATTGTTACTAGTCAAATCCCTAAATCGGCCGGCCGGAAAATTCGCCGAAAACGAGACTTATGGAAAAATCGCTAAGCTTTTCGCCGGTTTTGGAGGGTTTCTTTGAGAATCAGAGAAAATCCACCAAAACTTCCAATATCGGACCAATTTTGAAGGCAAAATGCCAACAATCCTTTTAGCCGATTTTCCAATATAGTCCAATTTGGCAGCCAATTTTCGAACAATCAGCTGATTTTGTAGCCGAATCTGATGTATCTTTGAGCTGAGCAAAGAGCCGAATAGGTGGAAAAAACGGGCCGATTTGGGGAAAGCTTTTAAATTGCCTAATGGTCTTGCCAGTATCATCGTCGACGTACATGAACATCCGTCAACGTCCTTCACAGCTGAGGCTTTTAGCTCGTGCTTGTCTTGGTTGCGCCCACCTTCCCCTCCGAGTTTATGTTATTTCTATAACTTAGAACTTTCCAATTTGGAAGGCTGTTGGAGTGCGTATCCACGATGTGCTAGAGCCGTTAGCCAGTTATTTGTAGAACGTCAGTACCATCGGTCAGTGTCGTGCAATATTAACGCATGAGCTGATTGTTCAGTAACTAGTGGTGTTAGTGGACATTATAGCATAACTTATAGTTCCTTGGTCCTTTTTCTTTTCCTTAAACAACCATTTTCGGCCCAATGACATGATTATCAATGGCAAAAGCTCTGAGTATTGGGGATCGAGTTCTCATACCTCTTCCCAAGCCAGGCAAGCCACCCGGCCCACCGGCACACCTCCGTCCGATCGTCCTACTTACAACACTCCATAAGATATTGTCGCTGGTTGTGCTCAGGAAAATCGAGATGATGTTGACAAATTCCTTTCCCCGGGTCAAAGTGGCTTCCGACAGCGCAGGATCACAGCAGATGTTGTATGGGGTTACAGGTGGATCAGTGCAGCATGTCAACACCGCAAGTGGAGTATCAGCATACTAGGAATAGGCATGTTGAAGGCATTTGACACAGTGGATCGGAACAGACTGATGTGAGTGCTGCAGGGAATCATTGGAGAGGACGAGCTACGGCTTATTTACCTGCTACTGGCGGACACATCCCTATGTACACGCAAACCCGGTGCAAGCCATACGGCATTCAAGACTAACATCGCAACGCCGCAAGGTGACTCTCTGCCACCAGTCCTATTCACAGTGTACCTCGAGGCAGCCCTGAGGAGTGTACGAGAGAAGCTTCCTGCCAGACCAGCAGATGACATCAGATTCTCTATTCCCACAGATACCGAGTATGCGGATGATGTGGACTTTCTGAGTACGTCCATGCAATATACACAGGGTTGTCTACCCGTCATCACAGACACCTTCAAGTCCTGGTGCTTCAACGTCAATGTATCAAAAACTGAGTTTACGACCATCGACCGCCAAGCAGACCGTATCTCCGAACTATGGAGAAACACAGAACAAGCTGGGATCCCCTGCTAGGTACCGATGAAGACATCAGGAGACGACAAAGCCTTGCAACTGCAGCCCTGAAGAAACTCTGGGCGCTATGGCTCAGATCCAATCTTATAAGAGAAGCTCTCCGCATACGGATATACAATGCTATGATCCTGGAGCATGGGGGATGACAGACTCAGTAGCTGCCAAGCGGGATGCTTTCCACCGGGAGCAACTGAGAAGTGTTGTTGGATTTCATTGGCCTCAAGTCATCTCAAACGCTGACCTATACGCTAGGTGCAACACCGAACGAGTATCCGTCTCAATTGCAAAAACAAGATGGCGGCTATTCGGCCATGTCCTGTGGTTGGACGGAGACGCCCCAGCGCATGCAGCAATGCAGGCTTACTTCAG